TTTTTAAATTATGATACTTAAACGTATAAAATACATAGGAAATTCATTTAAAATATATTTAAAATATATTGCATGCATGAGATTCAAAATCAATATTAACAAAATTTTGAAAAAAAATCAATCAAAAAATATTATTATAATCAATTTCATCGCAAATTTAACCTTCCTTATTATACATCACAAGCAGTGGCGTCAGAAGCAATTTTTGATGGGTGAGCTCGCTTTTTTTTTGATAGGCAGCCGGCAGGTTCGCTTTTTTTTTAATATTTCTCATATAATATTTCGAGATTGCAGCCCACACGGTTCCGACGCCACTGATCACAAATAATACTGATTAGAAGTTCAAATCTCTTATATAAAAATTATCAAAATAGTTATTGAAATCATAAAGAGATTCAAAATATTATACTTTACTTTATTATGACCTACATTAGAATATATCTAATTATCACATTTCTTCTGGTTGAAGAAGTTCTAAGAGAGCGAACGTTTGACCGAAATTTGAAGGCATTTTTAAGGAACTTTGTATCCAATTAGATAGTTTCTTATAATTAGTTGGTTGAGCATAGCGTTCGTCAACCAAAACAAATAGCCGCGTAATCGTTTATGTGCCTAATGGCTCTGCCGATGCACTGATTGACGGCTTTGAAACACAAATTTCATAATATATATCACCAGCTTTATTTTTGAAATGAGTATTTAAAAATGATATTTTTTCTTTCAATTCTAAACTAGTCTTATTAGGATAAGGAACACCTACAACAATAACGCAACGACCTAAATCGTCGCTGAAGTTCAAACCCTCACTAATCTTACCGCCTACAACGCCCAACATTAAGGCACCGGTTATGTTGGATTTTTTATTTTTAGCCTGTTTAATACATTTGCTATAGTTTTGTAAAATACTATCTACTTCACCAGATTTTTTAGGTTCACGGAAAATTAATTTTCTTTTCACAATATTGTCTATTGTTTGATTTTTCTTAAAAGAATCGTATACTTGTTGCTCATACTCGTAAGACGGAAAAAAGCAAACAATTCCACCAGGAACCAAGCTGCATATATTTTGTATTATCATTGACAGATCTTGCATCTGGAAATGAAAACAAAAACTGGTTTGAAAATATAATTTCACCAGTAATCTTGAACAGTAAATATAATTTAATTTTTATTAACAACTATATTTATGAATAATGTAACTTTAAATTTTGTCGGCAAATATAAAATAACAAAATTAATTATCATTCAAAAAGTAATGATTTTTCTTTAAATTTTCTATAAACTAGTTTAAATAGTTTTCTAATTTCTACAATTTTGAGGAAACAACAATTTTATTGACACAGATTTATAGTATTTTTTAAAGCACGCGCCACATAAACTTAAAAACATATTTATTTGTATATTATAAACAGTCAGACCATAGACCATAAAATACATATGTTAAAATTATATTAATTCATTTATGATTATGATATTGAAATTACAGGATTTTTTTTTAAATAATGATATGCAAACACACATCGTCGTCGAATTCTTCTAAATAATTAATTAATTTCATTACAAATGGTGAAGAAAAACACTGTATGATTTGCTTTATTTATGATTTTCAAAACAAAATCCGAAAAGAAAAATTATTAACATACTTAGTGTCACAGTACAATGTGTAAGCCAAAATTTTTCATTATGAACTAACAATTATGAGCAATATGCACTATTACTAACAATTTTTAATACGGCTATATTTCGCATGAAAATGTTGATAAAACAGTACAAGAGTAAATATTTTTCTCATTATTTTAAATCGTAATTACTGAACAATAATTATATAGTTCAGTAGTTCAATTTAAAAAAATATAATAAAAAGCTATTCCAAAAACTTTTACGTAGTATAATTATATTGTGATATAACAAAATGCAACTATATTGTGTGAATTTTGCAATTGACTGAATACATTATAAAAAAATTATATTTAAATAAATGTTATTTCGCCATATTTTAGTCTTTAGTTTAGTGTGTCGAGAAATTTGTTTGATTTTGAAACATATTTAAATGAATTTGACAAAGAAAATATCATAATTATCAAAAATATTCAATATATATGTCTTGATGCTAAACTTGTATCATCATGCAGCAAGCATCTTGTTTAAATGAGGTAAAAACAAACAAAATAAAATAATAAACAATGCCATGGCTCAATTCTGAATTAGATTGAATATTAATTATTCTAATATTTTTATACAAGATATCAATCATAATAAACAAAAATTGCTTTTAATACACTTATCATTATCACCAGACATAAACTTTTGAACAAATTCAACAGGTGGTTTGTGCCGGTCTACTTGGTAAATAATTATAATCTGAACATGGTGCTGAATGACACATATTTTAAATTTCATTTGATCTCACACACATTCATACTCACTGTACAAATATTTTTATATTTATAAGTATGACTCAACAAATTGACTTAAAAAATATTAAAATAAAATAATATTTCAGCATTTTACTCACCAATTCCGCACTACATCTATTTGAATAATTAAATAGGAGATCTTTTCCAGATGGTCCTTTCGTCATTATAATTGGACAAAGACTTTCTTCTGGTACAACATGACCACAAGAAAATATATTCACCCGAGTTATTTCTTCTGTTCCAAATAATTGCAAGCTAAAATCATCAAATGGTTGCATAGTTCCTCCAGCAACAATCACCTAAAAGATTACACCAATAAAAATAAAATCAATTAAAAATATTATATACAATTAAACTTACCGATCTTGCTTTTTTTACAAGATCTTGAAAATGTATTCTTGGATTCAGAACTAAATATTTTATAAAACATCTTGAAGGATCACTAACTTTGGATACTAAAACTTTTCCATCTTCATATTTCTCTGTCAAAGAAGTTAAAAACGCTTGCAATGCATATAGGCAACTCACTGGTGATAAAGTAGAGTCTTTTGACTTATCCGATGGAATGTTTTCTTTCTCCACAATATCTGTTGACTTTTTTGATTTATTATCTTGAATTTGCTTTAAGTGCTTTGCTTTGACCTGTTGTTAATTTCTTATCTACTATTTATCTAAATGTTATTCATTTGAATCTGAATAGTGTCGAGCATATCCTAAAAGAAAAAAACTGATATAAACTGGAAGGAACATTATCTTAAAATTGAAATTTCATAATATGTATGTATATATTATATATATATATATATATATATATATTATATATAGATGGATATAGATAATATATATATATCTAGTATATATATATAGGTAGTAGAGAAATATATATATCATATATATAATATATAATTATATAATATATATAATATAAATATATAATCTATATATATATATATATATATATATATATATATATATATATATAAACTCACCGGCAACTTTTTGTACAAAATTGTTACTATCGCAAAAATTAACAATTGGTAACAGATTTATATTTTCAAACTCTCCAAATAAAACAAATTCAATGGTTGTATACATTGTACTACTTTCAATTTTGTCAGTAATTTTAACTATTTGTTTTGTTACAAATATTAGTTGTGAAAGTAGTAAATAATTTCTATCACTCAATCTTATACCATATTTTTTTTGATATGCACGAAGAATTGCCAATGCTAGAGTAGCTTGTTCAAATGTAAAAATAGAACTATGAATATTGGTTATTGTATCCAGTAAATTATGAGCTTCATCAATAATAATAACATTATTCTCAATGTTAATACCACTAATTTCTCTTGTGCGTTTGCTTAACAATGTTTGATAAGGTACTGCTATAAATTGGGCGTCTTCCAATGCATTTCTACTCGCATAGTATGGGCATGCATTTAACGATTTACCCTCTTTGATTAAATCTTCAACATCTACTATATCAGATAAAATAAAATCTGTTAATTCAGATACATTATTTGAATTTTTGAATGCACAGCATTTTTCTGTTCGAACTTTTTTTTTTTAATAGGTTTTTGAAATTCATCTGCCCTTGTTGTTTCTGAACTTTTACCTTTTTGTAAATCTAAACACCTACAAAGACAAAATATGTTATTTAATCATGGTTTATATTATCATCATTTATATTACAGAATTCTCATACACTTTATTTATACTAATATATAAATATACACAAAATAATTTTTTTGATAAATATTTACTTTTCATTTATAGCTGTGTTATGTTTTAGGGCTCGAACAGAGGAATTCAAGCAATAACTTTGTCTGGAAGCCAATGTGACTACTCTAATATCACTGTGTGGACTTTTACTTATTTCTGCAACTATTTGTGATAATTGAGAATGAGTTCGTGACGCAAATATTATCTAAAATATGAAATAACTGTATCATATATAAGAACACTATTATAATAATCACAAGAAATAATTGGGTTAGCTCTATAATAATATTGGTTCAGAATATATATATACCTGTGTTTGTGTATTTTTTAATTTTTCATCCTGCAAATCATCTTCGACAACACTTTCAGTATCATTTAATATGTATTCATCTTCATCTAATTCCAAATCATCTGACACATTCTGGGTAGACTAAAAAATATTGGTAAATAGTACATTACTATTATTTACATGATTTTAGAAACCATGAAATATCATATTTTGAACTAAAAACTATTAACATTTGACTATAAATATTTTATCCACTAAATTGTATTATGAAGGTACTCTTACAAGCAAAACCATTGTATTACAGATATTTATTTGTGCCATATCAAATCATGTCTAAAACGTAAAGCCACTTTGTAATGTGATCATAAAGAGAATGCACTAATATGAAATTACATAAAACACCATTTTCAAAACATTTAATGAAAATAATTTCATGACACATGAAACATAAGACTCTTAAGTTATATTTTATTTATAAGTACAAATGTCCCATAACTATAAAGTTAAAAATTATTAAATACTATAATCAAAATATATTATTTTAATAAGAGCATAAAAATTTGAAATCAAACTACCTTTTTATCGATGATGTTATGACTATTAACAGATCTTGCTTTTTTCTTCTTATGTTTAATTTTATTCATTCGATCTTTATAAGTTTCTATATCATTTAGTTTTTGTTCAACTTTACATATTTCATCATTATATAATTTTATTTGATATTGTTCATTTATCCAGTCATCTTCTTTAACAGAAACTTCATCCTTTTTAATATTAATTTGCTCAATTTTTTTTATTAGTGCTTTGACTTTTCTTTCCTCGTGATCTGCAATGACATAATTATTACATCTGCAACTAGTTTAGAAACATGAGTAATAACAAATTAAACATGCAATAAAAATATTTAAAGCATGTTTTTGAAGTATAAAATAAGGAGTATAATGTCATACTAATGATAAAGTAACATGATATATAAAACATCAAAATGTTTAATACGCAGATTTTTAATCAAATTCAGCAATAAAAAGCAAGGCAAAATAAAATAATAAAAAAGGAAATTTATACCTTTTAACCATTGTAAAGAGGCACAAGCTATACTCAATGACTTTCCCGTACCAGTGGGGCTTTCAAAGATACCCAACTGTCCTAATTCTAAAGTTTCATACAGTGTTTTCATAAAATCTTTTTGAATTTCATATGGTGGAAAAGGAAATTCAAATTGGTCTGGTGGTTTTAAGATAAGGTCTATTTCTTTAGGATCCATTGTTCATATATAAAGTATATACAAAACGATGGAAAAAATTGATTTTCAATGGCAACAAAATTTTAAAATATAATAAATGTTCAGACTAATTGTTGAACTACAAAAAGTTCTTTTTGTATTTATTGTACGCACAATTATCAGCCACTTGAAAATAAAAAAACTGATTTGCTAAAAACAACTTTTACTTTAATTAACCGTTACAAATGCAACTGTCAAATTAATTCATACAAAATATTATTTGGGACATAAGCACCCTCTTACGACAATAAATTATACTGTAAAATATAGTAATGACACCCACACCGGGCCGAAAGCAAAGTTTCATACCAGGAATATTTGTGTTGGGTGTTTTTGAGGATGACAACTTTGTAAGATTTAGCTGCGTGTGATAAATAACCCTTTTAATTTAGTAATTATGAATTAATCTAACTAAATAACTAATTAATAGATTTTAAAGAAATGACGAGAGCTCGAGAGCTACATCAAAACCAATCAAAACAGTTGACGTCATTATGATGTTGAAATGTCATGTGTAAGGAGAACGGCCTTCTAAATATTTCAACACACAAGCAAATCTCACAAAAATCGAGATTTTTATATGAAGTATCATGTACAGAGAAGATATTCATTAAATTAATCCCTTTTTTATTTATCTACATAATTCACATGCCACTCCAAGTTATGATTGCAAGCAAAAAGTGAAGAATATCTGTTCCATTCTAACTTGGCATATAGTTATAAAATTTTTCTGAGTAAAGATTATTGACATGTTTTTCTTATGAAATAATGACGGATCCTAATGAAAAAGTGCTTCAAGAGCTGCTTAAAAAAGATGGCAATGGTGTATGTGCAGATTGCCGCACACCTAGTATGTGTACAAAATTATATTCATATCATGCCAGATTATTTATAATATGTCTGTATATACAGATCCAGAATGGTCATCCTACAATATAGGTATATTTATATGCACTCGATGCGCTGGGATACACAGAGCTCTTGGAGCTCACATTAGTAAAGTGAAACACTTAAAATTAGATAGATGGGAAGACAGTCAAGTAAAACATATCAGCGAAATAGGTAATTTTGCTGCTCAACAAAAATATGAAGAACTTGTACCAATATTTTACAGGAGACCTGGAATTAATAGTCCTTAGTATGTATTGCATTATCTACTTCACTTAAAACAAGAAATATGAGATATATTTTTTCTTAAAGTATTTTAATAGAACAATGGATCAAAGCCAAGTATTTGAGAAAAGAATTTACTTCACAATCACCAGTACAATATATATCGGGACAAATGAGTGGAATTTTGATGAAGAAAGGGAAGGATGATAAAAAGTTTGTTTATTATTATATTCTATGATAGGTTCATAAAATTATATAAATAATTTTCTATTTGTTTTTTCATTTAGCCTTATTCCATATATATAAGTGGTACCCCGACATAAGAGTTAATTTGTAAACCATGCTTGTATGTTAAATTGCTCATATCTCAAAGCAGTTTCCCCATATAATGCCATTCATTCGCTCTAGCACTTTGGGTTTTGTTAAAATTTTTTAATATTAAAAAAAAATTTACTATTTGTTTTTCCTGTCGTTCATGATATTGCAAAATGAGTTAGAGAAGTTTCATTGAACAAATACCATGCTCGAATTATTGCAACTTTTCTGGAGTGATATAAACAAACTTTTAGAGTTTAAAAATCTGCTTATGAATTATTGTAAGGCCCTTAGCTATAGTTTTACCCATTATGAACTCCGCCTGTTTAAACACAGTGCATATCTGTGATGTGTTACGCTTGTACATTCTCTTTAATTCAAGAGACTTGGCCCTTTGGACACGTGAATATAAAAGTATGGAATATTTTATACGAAAAAAAAAAGGAACTCAACATATATAACTATACAATTACTATAATGGTATTATGGAAAATAGTTATGTATATAAAATATAAACTCCATTTGTATAAAAATATAAACAATTTATTGATTATAAAATTTCATGATATGAAAAATGACAAGTGATTTTATTTTCTCTCCAATCTCCAGTTTGCTCGGTTCCCCACAGTATAATGTATGGTTAAAATTTCAAAAATTATAATAATCGATATTACAATTAATATGTAATTGAAATTACTAACTATAACATAATGAACTGTAATAAAACAGCAAAGTTTTTCTATAGTAGGATAATCATTGTTACAAATAATGAAATTTTTCGTATGTCGAAGCAACAAATCGCTCATGTGGCGACTCGTATCTTAAAACACTCGTATATTAAGTCGTAAGTCAGGGTACCACTTTGGTATATGCACTTACTATTAAAACGTTTGAATTGAATATTTCATATTACTTTTTTTTTGCTGATTTTGACTTCTTTTTATAATATAATTTCAAATCAAAGGTATCATCCAAGAAAATTTGTGCTTAACGAACAAGATGACACACTAAGATACTACATAAAAGAACATAAAGATCCCAAAGCAATTTTACGCATATCAGAAATCAACGTAGCGCTAGCCCCTCAAAAATTCAATCATAATAATTCTATGCAAATATCGTTCATGAAAGATGAAACAACTCGCCACATATATGTTTACCACAACGATTCAGAAGTTTTGATTAACTGGTAAATATGATTTATCAATAAGAATTAATCAATTGATAAATATGTAAATCATAATTAATTGAGATAATTAATTTCAAGGTACACAGCTATAAGATGTGCAAAGTTGCATAGATTAGAGATTGCTTTTCCAAGTATGAGGGAGAACGATCTGCTTGAACATTTAACTGATGATTTCCTTAAAGAAGGCTGGTTATGGAAAACTGGCCCTAAAGTATCTGATTCATATAAAAAGCGATGGTTTACTTTAGATGGTCGAAAACTTATGTATCATGATGATATGTTTGATGCTCATCCTAAAGGCGAAATTTTTATTGGTTTGTGAAAAATATTTTTGTATGTACATCTATTAACCCTTACCGCTCGGCACTGATTCAAAAACAATCACCAGCGACTCGGAGTCTGACGAAAACGTATCTGCTGTAAACTTGATATTATTGTATATGTATGCAATTTGATTTATATGAATTTGTGGGCATTGAAGAACGTACATGTACAATAATATCTAAATTTATTTTAAAGCAACTTCCAATAGACAAAGCGGCAGTGTCGTTATAAATACTTAGTGTTGTGATAGTTTTTTCTCATTCCACAGAAAAGTGTAATACATATATCGTTTTTTATATATCTGTCTTTTGTGATTAAAATTTTGCTTTACAAGTTTGTCAATCGTTTTTCCATATTTACAAGAAAAAATTGTATAATAAAACTAGTGGTGTTTGGCATCGTGCCTTAAGGCAAGTTGCAGAAGCTTCCAGTGCCATTTTTTTTAAAGATTAATTTTTTAAAAAATTACTGCTTTAGCTGCACTGTTTTAGCTGCATAGAGATAAAATATCGAAGCGCGTAAGCGCCGCCCATAGAAATATAAAGAAAATTGATAATCATTATTAAAATCTCCATAAAATATCTGATAATTTGATGTGCATATGTCTAATGATCATTTTTGGCTGCCGTAGTGTAAGTTATTGTAGTCGCCCAAAAATCGGAATTGAAAATTTTTACACTTTTCGACATTTTGAAGGTTTCTGAACATTTTGGCATAAATGAGAAAAAATGGATGTGTGTGTGTTTTTTTTTGTATAGTGAAGGAAATGCCTTTATGCATCCCAGACTGATGTGTTTTTTTTTGTATGCCTTTATGCATCCCAGACTGGAAAAGGGAGGTTTTAGTCGGTATTATACCAGGGCGGTATTTAGTCCGACATACCCAGACTGGTGTGTGTGTGTGTGTGTATGTATGTATGTATGGATACAATTTTTCGGTCACGTTTTCGGGCGCACGGATCAACCTATTTGAATGGTTCAAAAAACATTCGATTCCTATTGATAGGGAGATGTGCTGATTAGTTTTTGACAAAGGCAGGTCCAACAGTTACGGAAATAAAGAGCAAGGAGTGCAGAAAATAGAAATCGAGTTTTTGAGAGAACGGAGTATCCGATTTGAAAGATCTAAAAAACATTCAATTAGTAGGCCCAGCCATTTCGAAGATAACATAGCTAAATGTTAAAAAAATGGCAGATTCAAAGAACTTTTTGCTTGTTTTAACAAAATAATTGATTTTGGAAAAAAAAATTGTTTCAAAATGATTTGAAAGATCTAAAAAACATTCAATTAGTAGGCCCAGCCATTTCGAAGATAACATAGCTAAATGTTAAAAAAATGGCAGATTCAAAGAACTTTTTGCTTGTTTTAACAAAATAATTGATTTTGGAAAAAAAAATTGTTTCAAAATAATTTTTTTTTTTAAAAAATTTTTTTTGTTTATCGAAAATAAATCAGATTTTATTTTTAATTCTGATTAAAGTTCTAATAACAAATAATTTCAACTTTGCAATTCAGTTTATATAGTTCTTATAAATATTAGACAATGTTACAATATTTTATATTTATAATAATCTATTTGAAAACATTCGGTATTCCTCAAACATTTCGTTACGGTACCAGCAATTTGCCTTAAGGCACGATGCCATACACCCCACTAGTTTTTTTTACTTTTTTCACTGGATCTCCGAAACCACTGGCCCTGTTATCCCAGAAATTTAATCAATTCTTGATCTTGTCAATAAAAGTAAAATGTTTTTTGAATTATTGAAATCGGACGCTCCGTTCTCTTAACAACTGAGTTACCGTTTTTGACACTTTTTCCCTTTATCTTCGGGACGGCTAGAGCTGCCTTTGGCACGTCTCCTTATTAGTACGAATCGAATGCTTTTTGTATTATTCAAATCGGTTGATCAGTGTTCCCGAAATCGTCGCCGAAAATTTGTATCCGCACACACACACATATCCATTTTTTCTAAGGTATGCCAAAATGTTTAAAACCCTTTTAAAGGTAAAGATAAATAAAAATTTGCATTTTCGATTTTTTGCGATTTCTATAACTTACCCTACGGGAAGTTAAAAAGATCCAAAAATACTAGACAAATAAATAATAGTAAACTTTGAAAAGAGGGCCTCGGTCTTATCACTGCATAAGTTTATTATAAGAATGAGCAACCTTTCTAAATCACAGGTCTCATTTAATTTTTAAAATTAGATCATTTATTAATGACAAAGCTTGATACTACTAGACATTATTTGATAATTAAAAAAAAAAGAAATCATAAGAAAAGAATAAATTATAATTAATTTACTGATGGGAGAAAGTTGTTAAAATAGATAAAATTCTATTTAGAAATGCTTGGTGGATTGCAGAAAAATATTCTGGTTGCTCATTCTTGATTTATTCTATTCGACACTTTACATTTATACGAGTCATTGTATATACAAACTGCCGAGTGTCAAAGAGCCTAGAGATAAGCTAGACTTATGTTGTCTCCTCAGGAAGACAGCCGAGTGGAAAGGGTTAATGAACAGCTGATATGACAGAGTTGATACCTATACACTAGATAACCTTTGCTTTTGGTGTAAGCACTTATTATTGTTTTAAAACATGTTGCATATAAGTGAATTTAAAAATTTCCTTTTAGGCTCTATTTAAAAATTTAACTAAAGATTTTACAACAGGTAACATGTTACAAGGCTATAGTGTAAGAATAGGTTCGAGTGATGGGGTTCAAGAGCAAGACTTCACTTTCACTTTAAGAACTCCTGATAGAACATACAATTTATCATCCACAAGTGAAGCCGATAGAGATGAATGGATATCACAATTATCTCATATTATTGAAAAGCCCATGAGTAATCGGGATTTTGCTCGTAAGATTTTCAGAAGTAAATCTATTAAAAAAGACATTTTTCAAAGAATTAATACAAGATTTGTTTTTTAGTTGCTGGTAAATTCGTTGGTAGAAGTCGTTTCTTGTAATCTGAATAGTGTATTTTCCCCCACAAGTTATGTGAGAAAAATGAGAGATTATTTAAATAGATTTAAATAGATCAATAGTATATATATAATATAATTATTTACTTATTAGGCATATTTATAATCTAAATTGCCATAATCACATCCCACTGCCAGTAGATTGGAATATAATCTGAAGAAATTTGTATAATGCAAACAAATTATTTAAAAAACTATAATAATATTATCGAGAGTATTTTAAAGAAATAGATATTTATCAAAATAATATTTATTATATACAAAATAGATAAAAATTAATGGTTACCTTAAACCCTTCTTAAATTTTTGAAATCTTGAGTTTAAACTTATCTGGTTTATTAAATTTGTAATTTCTTTAATTTTAGATGGAGATTTTTCACCAGGGTTTGTTAGAAATGATAAAGTTTTAAGTAGCTGAAGTCGCCTTACTAATACAGATTTATAATGATTATTGCTTATTCTCCATTGTTTTAATGTGATTTCAATTAGCCGTAGAATTTCTCTTTGAAGCTCAAACCAACAAGTCATATGCTGATCGGACATCTGAAAGAGAAGACGTTTTATTCAAACAAATTTTACCAATGAAATTTTTGTACAACTATAGATCGTACAGAAGATCATAATGACTTGTAAAAATGTGAATATGAATAAATATGGTTAACTTTGCCAGAAATATCCGGTTGACAACTAAGTGAATGTGGATTTTTGTTAGAATCATCATTCCACTTTCATAAAACTTTTAGTTTTTATTAGCAAAAAAAAAAAATAATCAAATACAATTTGACATCATCATAATCATTGAATTGTTTACCATTCATGAAGTTTTGTGAAGATCAGAACAAAAAGAAATCCGAAGTTCCAAGGTCAAAACTATATGGTGAATATGGCAAAACATTAGACATAAAAATCGATCGTCTTACATGCTTTTTTACCTTTGCAGAAATAAAAAAGCAAAATATGACAAATTTTCGATTTGATTTTCCATCTTTCAACGAACACGAAATAAAAGCTGCGCGATCGATCAAAAAACTATTTTACATATTGATGGCTAATTGCCTTAGAATTACGAATTCCAACCTACTTAGTTGCCAACCTAATATATTATATTTTGTGTGCGTGTTTATACATACCTTATATGTCCCAATACAAACTTTTATCATAACCTCCAGTCTTACAACATTGTTTAGATTAGACAATATAAAGCTTAAAACATTTGAAGCAGTTATATCCAAAGAATGGGGAAATGTCAAACTTTCTGATTTACTAAAAAAATTATAATAAATTAATATATTAATTAGACCTATAAGCAAATAAATAAAATATAATTATGTTACTGAGAATCTTATTTTTATATATGCGATTATATTTTTATAAATATATATATATATAAACAGATAAATTTTAAATGTATTTATCATTTCTATACCTTTCCGGAAATATTGTGATCGTCGGTAAATCATCCATGGTGAGTTGCCATGGTACATCATTGTAATCCATATCAATTCTCACAAACGATATCTTAGTAATCGATTTCAGTAAATGACTTACATATAAAAAAATATGCCATGCATACTGGCAAAATCCACAAAATGGGCTGTAGTATAACACCACTACTGTCTAAAAATATGTTCAAAATTGTTGAATTAAGTGAAAACGAAGTGATATATGGGAGTGAATCAAAAAGTCCTCAATATTATTTATTAAATTAAATTTATTGATATACAGGAGTACCCTGACATACGAGTGACCTGACATATGGGCGTTTTGAGATACGAGCCAACAAAGAAGTGATTAGTTAGCTTCGAATGATGAGCAAAACTCGAGATACGAGCTTTGAGCGAGTAAGAGTTGTTTAGAAAAATATTAATGTCAAAATGAAAATATGAATAATTTCGTCAGTTAATATGGAATAAATATGGTTAACTTTGCCAGAAATATCCGGTGACAGCTAAGTAAATGTGGATTTTTGTTAGAATCATCATTCCACTTTCATAAAACTTTTAGTTTTTATTAGCAAAAAAAAAAAAATTAATGAAATACAATTTGACATCATCATAATCATTGAATTGTTTACCATTCATGGATAGCAATGATTTTCTATTTCCATGTAAAGATTATTGTGTTATTTAGTATAATAATAATATAATAACATAATATTGAAGCTAATATTATAGTCAATTATTTTATAATTTAAAATTTATTTTATAGTTAATTCCAATATATATTAGTATTAATTATGTAGTAATGATATAACCACGCAAATATATGGTGAATTATTTTAACATCTGAAATGTTGATTATATGTTAATAGTGATTGTATAGTTATATATGTTGAATTCAATTTTGTATTGATTTTAATGCATTAACAAAATACAAAATACTATTATATTCTTAGATCTAAAAAAATGTACTTGTCTCTTGAATTAAGCATAAATCTATTGAAAAATACGAGAAAGGCAAAGAGCATAATACATCATAGAAATGTACTGTGTTTAATGGATTTAAGGAGTTGATAGGGGCCCCAGTGAAGGCCCTTACAATAATTCATAAGCAGCTTCTTGAACTTTATAAGTTTGTGTATATCATACCAAAAAAAGCAACAGTTCGTGCATGAGAGTTGTTCAATGAAATATGCCTTAAATATCATCAAAACAATATTAAATAGTAAATTTATTTGCAATATTCAAATAAATTAACAAAACCATAGTGGTGGAACGAGATAATGGCATTTCAATATATTTATATGCGAAAAATGGCATCGAGATACGAGCGATTCGACACACGAGCGTGGTTACAGAAAGAATTACTTGTATGCCAGGGTACTGTAGCTTAAACTGTTTTAATTAAATTAATTAAATTTGAACTTGACAGAAAAGTTTCAAAACTATTTATTTTACTTATATCATATTTCAAATATTATGGTTTAAGAGATAAACTTACCTTATTCTGATTCATCACTTGGGGAATGAATGTATCGGAGCTCAGTTCAGCAACAGATACTATTCCCAAATTTCTATCATATTGCTTCATACTTTGGTATACATTTTTCTCAGTACTATATTTATGAGTATACTGACTAGTCTTTGAATTGTCTCGGAATGATCGATTCTCAACTTTATTACTATGTTCCCAAATAAATTTCTTAACACTTGATGGGGTGACCTTTTCTTTTAAGATGCTTTGATATTCCATCTGTAAAGATCATAACCTTGTTAGTATAATGCCTTATCAAGTCCTTATTACTTACAATAAAAAATCAATACAAAATAATTTTTGTAGAACAATATGTCTACAAAAAAGTAAACACTGAAATACAGTTACAAATTAAATAAAGCACATATATTGTTGTGGTTAATAATTATAGTATAACTGCAATAGATATTAATATGCTAAACTAAGAATTTAAATAACTTGAAGTACAATGAAGGACCATGTAAATGGCAACTAAAATACCAATGTTAATCAGATTTTACTTGATTCGAATCAACTTGTATCAAGCCGCGAAATATTTACTGCGATAAAATATGTATGAACACAAATTTTCATAAATATAGAATATAAAAAAAAATAATAATAAATATAAAAAATAAATCATGAATTAAATCATGCGAGCCACCCGACATCAATACGCTTAAATGTATCACCCGACTCCAATCGGCTTTATATGAATTTAACCGCATTCATTGACTAACAATATCATCCGACTTGAAGTCGGAATGATTCGGTTTCAGCTATAAGACTTTAATCTACTTCATATGACTCAAACCGAATCAATCCGACTTCAAGCTGTTTGAGCGATATGACTCCAAGCGACATGAGTTCGAAACAGATACAATGCGTCGTCGTTCTTGCGTGTTTATTTATTTTACGGAGCGCTGAGAGCGATTTTGTTTGTAAAATATCAATCCTAATTTTGATAATAATTAAGTGTTTTAGATTTTAAATGTTATCAGAATAAACCACTCAAAATTATGAAACGAGTTTCGGGAATCTTTCAATATAATTCTCTTTTGAAACAATTACTAAATATCAGGAAGCCAGTAAATTATATTTAACTTCTGATTATAGTAATGGCAAATTCATAAATGAAATTAACTTTCAGCTCTCAGTTCAGATGCGATCCTCTACTGATTATATAGCAAAATAAACAATCAATCCATGATTCCAAATATTATTTTAAATGCTTTAGTGATGCACAATTGTTTGGTAATCTATTATTCTTAAATTAATTCAAAATTAAATCATTTTTAATAATTTTCAGAATATACTTTTTGATTTTTCACAATTTATGTTTATGTTAATTTCTACCTTGTCGGTTATATTAGTTAAACTAACAATTTTGATTATAAATTTGGATCACATTTTACTAACTAAATACATCCATGATTTTTTTTTGTCCATATATATATACTTGATTCGAATCATGATTTGGATCAGGTTTTTTTCTGATTCGAATCATTCAAATCGGGAATTTTTCGAGTCAGCACATCACTAAATATATATATATATATATATATTTACATTTATCAATAAATTGAAAATGAAATTTAAAAAAATAGAAAAATGTTTCTAAATATTTTAAATATGATAATTTCTTTTGTTTTTCATGATCATACCTCATTATCAATTATAAGAACAACAGTTTTATTCTCCAAGTCCAGGAGTTGTACTCCAATTTTCTCAGCAATATAATGGTACATTTCTGAATCCAATGCCAGCAAGGATAAACTTCTATTGTTCTGACAAGCAAGCCCAGATATATTTGGAGCATCTGAAAATGAAGATGAGTTTATTATGTGTCGATGACAAACACCATTTTTTAACTTCCCGAAGGGCAAGTTATAGTAATCGCAAAAAAATCGAAAATGAAAATTTTTATATATCTTTACGTTTCAGAGGTTTCTGAACATTTTGGCATACCTTAGAAAAAATTGATGTATGTGTGTGTGTGTGTGTGTGTGTATGTATGTATGTATGTATGTATGTATGTATGTACGTGTGTGTATGTATGTGCGGATACAAATTTTCGTCGACGATTTCGGGAACACGGATCAACCGATTTGAATAATTCAAAAAACATTCGATTCGTATTGATAAGGAGACGTGCTGATTAGTTTTTGGCGAAGGCAGGTCTAGCCGTTCCAAAGATACGGGGCAAAAAGTGCCAAAAACGGTACCTCCGTTTTTAAGAGAACGGAACGTCCGATTTGAATAATTCAAAAAACATTTTATTTGTATTGACAAGATGTAGAATGAATCAAATTTTCATAAAGCCAGGTCTAGCGGTTTCGGACATCTAATGAAAAAAGTAAAAAAAAATGCCATTGGGCGGTTAAAAATGATCATTAGACATATGCACATCAAATTATCAGATATTTTATAGAGATTTTAACAATAAGTATAATTTTTTTTTACATTTCTATGGGTTCCGTACCAATGCTTATGCGTTAGACGGCGGCGCGGCACTTGCGAGCTTTGACATTTCGTCTCTATGCAGTTCAAGCAGTGCGATTGCTTTGAAAAAAAGTTCAAAATTTTCAAAATATGTTTTAAAAAAATTTTTTTTATTTAAATAAAAAATTTTTTTTTTTCAAAAAAAAAGTAATTTTTTGTCAATTTTATAGTTTCTCAAAAATCTATTTTTTTTCGAAGTAAAATTTTTTCAAAAATGTTAATCGTTTTTAAAAAAATAATAATTTTTGGTACGGGAAGTTCCAGCATTTTGCCTTAAGGCACGATGCCCTAATTGCCTTAAGACAGAATTCCACTTACAGCTAGTTATTACTTTATCTTGTAGTAAATTAATATTAACCTTTATTATAATTTGTCTCAAAGAAAACGGGTTTACTCTGCAAATCAGCTTCCAGTAACAGCAGACACTCATTTGTTTCTTTAATTTTGTGCAAGTTTTCCGCACTATAATAATCATCTACCTTGCTAGAGTGAAAATTTGTATTAATATTTTATTCTTTATATTTGCAAGCACACATACATAATCAACCCGATTCAACCATAAGTCAATAGCAACTTATCCCATGGTACACGGAAATTACCTAAAATTATTGATAATTTTTTTCTCAGCATCATTTTTATTGCATCTATCATAAATATGCTCGCCATGTTTCTCATTTTCGTATTTTTCAATAAAACAATGTTTATCCAATACTGAACATACATTGTTATTTGGATCTTTAGATGTATTGAACCATTTGCTAACAGTGATGGAAACTTCTATGTTTTCTACTACATTTTTTCGCATCTGATTATTTGATTTTGCAAGCAATTCTTCACAGAATTTTACTTTTTCATAGTACCTCTCTTGATTCTCTATAGAAAAAAAATCAATGCCTATAAGCTGAGTTTAATATTAATATATATTCTAATTTCTTTTTTTAATCTTACTTGCTCTCGTTAATTGAATATATTTTGATAACTGAGCAACCCAAGGGTCATTATTACAATTATAATATTCCAGACCAATATGCTTCAGCTAAAAAGTAACATATATATATATATATATATATATATATATATATATAAATAAATAAATTTAATTATTATATATTTACTCAAGCACTCAAATAGACAATAATCGAATATGGATGTCAATAGTCAGCTAAAGTCTGTCTAAGATTTTTATGCCTCTAGACTTAAACACCATGAAGTATAAATGGCACTTACCATGTCATAAGCATCATTAAACTCTCTAAATGCATTTCTTGGAGTAAATAACAATAATGCAGATCCTTCCATTAAATATGGACTAAGAGTACTTGACTTAACGCCAGGAAAATTTATCCACATTGATACTTGATGAAGATTTGATGATATCCATGTGAAAAGATTATTTGTATTAGGCACTTTATCAGATTCATAGATCTAAGAAAAATAAGATGCTATATTTAATTGAAGTAAAAAATATTTTAATTGAAAGAAATAATTACCAATGTTTCGTTCCACAAATAAATTCTATATGAGGGAAGACTATTTACACCAAAACTATCTCGAGAATGACCTGTAACCACTGCAAATCCGATTTCATTATAAGGTTCATGATCTATCCATTTCAATGCAGTCTTATATAAAATATCATAACTTGTTGGAAAATATTTAAAGTCAACATACCCAACAATAACAGCCTTAAAGAAAATTAAATTTAACATATATATAATAAATAAACATTTAAAATATTGATATTATTTACATCATAACGTGCTAATAAATCAACAATATCATCTGGCTTAGTAATCCTGTGCAGAGGGTTAATTGCAGTGTTTAAAAATCTGGTCATATGCGATTTGCTTATTGGACCTCTGTATTGTATACTACCACCATAACAATTAACTAATAAAAAAATTGGCCAAGACTGCACCTTGTAAAAAACAATTTCATCTATTAAATATGTCTTAATATTGTTGTTAATAAATGACACACCTTTGTTGTATGCTTATCTCTACATTCACCACCTGGTGCCCAACAATTTATGGCCAAAAAGTTTATCTGTATGACAAATTTTGTAATGTTAATCGAATTCCCCAAAATAATTTATATCCATTGTACAAAAAATATATACCCGATCTTTAAAAATATCAGCCACTTCATTAACTACCTTTGCAGCATATTGACTTCTAGCATCCCATGGAGCATAGTACATGAAAAACGAATATTCATAATGTCCAATACTATAAAACGCTCCTTCCAATTGACCCCCATACCAGTCTTGTACATTTGAATTTATGGAGAACAATGGCCCTGAGTATGGTGCTGGAGAAATAACTGGAATTCTTTCAACAATTTTCAATATTAATAGCGCTAAGTAGAAGATGAATATAATAATATTCCAATGTAAGAAAGTCTGCCACTCACGATCTTTCTATTGCTGAAAAAGCTACTCTAACAATTATCAGCAAAGACAGAAATATTTCTTTTCTATAATTATTCATGAGAAGCAGATAACGATTATTAATTTTTGAATGATCCTCGTTCATTGCCACATTGTTCGAATTATTTTTCTCTCCCGTACCGACATTGATTACCGATCTGCCAATGGCTCCTGTCATATGTGAAAGTATTACACGTCATAACCTATAGAAAATTTAAACGTCAAACACTAGATATGGTTGGTAGTTGTTTGAGTTGGCAACACTTGAACAAACATTTACTTACGAAATTTAAACTTTATTTACGTTAATGTAATATTGCATACAGTGTTTGAAATGGATGTAATAATTAATTTGTATTTTGCAGGATTTACGGTCAAATGATTGAATTTGTGGCCAATCAAATACAAACTGCAGGCAACTGCAGGTGAGTCTGATCATATATTAAAGAAGAGTATGTATTAGCGTAAAATGTTGAAACTTTTTGTATAGTTTTATTTTCTCGAATATGATGAGAATAATGTGTATCTTGCGCACTTTTCTTTAAAATCATAAAGTCTAAATAAGTAATATAGCAATTTTATAATTTGAAATACCTTCAACTTAATTATTTAATACTTAAGTCTTAGTCTTATATTAATATAGTCTTACCTCTCAGAAAAATCTAAAATGTAGTAATTTAAATCTTGTTTTTGATGACCAAATTGGCAGTAAAATGTAATGTCATAATATTATGTTAAAATTCAATTATGATTTTGCAACCGACCACTAAGCACAATTCTTAAATAACATGAAAACAATTATAGATGGTAGAGTCTTGGATTTGTATTATTATTATTACTATTATATATGTGTATATATATATTATATATAAAAAGCACTTCTATTATATATGTTTTTGTATATACATTATATTTATATATATATATATATATATATATATATATATATATATAAAATATATATATATATATATATATATATATATATATATATATATATATATAAATATAATGTATATACAAAAACATATATAATAGAAGATGCTTTACAACTCAAAAATATAGTGTAACTTACCATAAAACAATTTTGAAATGAAAACATACGCATTCCCACTACGTTTTGCTACAGGAACAAATTAAGTTTCTTCGAAATTTAGTATTTACTAATTTAATTTATTTCCGAACAACATTCACTCATTGAATAAACCAAATTTGAATTGCAGTTTCTTCAAAATTTAATGTTTACTTATTTAATTTACTTAACAATGACATCACTCTCTGAATAAACCAAATAAATTCAAGTAATTTATTTAATCAAATCGTTTTTGAATGAATAAAAGATATTAAGTGATCTTTCAACTTTCAGCATGTAAAAATTTCTAAAACATTCTAATTGAAATTAAAAGTGAATACAACATGTATTACAAGTATAAAACTACTAATTCGAATTATTGAGTGATTATTTTTCTCAAATTTTATTGAAAATCATGGTCATTTTTATACTAATTTGCATAAAAAATACAAATATAGCCGTTTTGAAAAATGAAATACAATTTTTGCAACACAATCACAAATCCATTTTAAAATCTAATTTATGATTTAGAAAAAGGTTTACAAACCCCTATTTTTTTTTACAAAATTAATAAATCTCTTTAGATTTATTAAAAAATTTAAAATTCAAATCGCTAAAAATTTAAATATTTTCTTAATACTTTCCCTTAAAAATATTAATAAAATTCAAATTCTTACATAAATTTAATTATTTTTTAATTTTTTTCGAGTTTTCAGCAAAAAAGTTTATTTTATTTATATATGTGTTCACAAATCGGAAAGTTTCACCAATTTTCCTTAAAGCACAAAGTCGCACACACTAGGAAGAATATTATAACCATTTTTTAAAATATAATAATAATGAATACATCGAGTTGTACATTTGCTCATGGATAACGATTACATTTTTGAATGTAAAATACACACACACACACACACACACATATATATATATAGACATACATAGATATATATAGTTATATATATATATATATATATATATATATGAATGGTAGATATATATATGGTATGTATATGGTATATATATATATATATATATATATGTACGTATATATATTTTTGTTACTCAAACTCTAAGCTGAAAACATGTTTCGTTTTGAATAAGCTTTTTAATGAAATATATTATTTAGTTTTGTTTTTATTTTAATTTTACAATTATTTTAAATTTATCATAACTCGACGTTTATCAATTTGTGTTTCATAATTTTTTCGTTAAATTTTCGTGTTATTTTTGTGTTTTTTTTTCAATTTATTTGTATGGTGAGTTCTTTACATTTGTTTATGTCTATGTGGTTTTTCATTTTTATATACTTTCACAATATATATTAGTTATAAAACAAATTTATTAAATTGATTAAATCTATCCTTTTTTACATGTTTTTATTTATATTTTTCTGTAATTGTATTTTTTATATTGTTTTAAATTGTAGCCCTGAAATATTTAATTGTAGCACTGAAGATGGTTCAAAACAAGACCCGAAACGTATGTTTTCTGAATAAAAACATTTTATTTCAATAAAACTGTTTTTAATTACTGGATGGATGCCCAAGAACAATTTTATCATATTATTTCACCATCTGAAGAAAAACCTCTTGTTATATATATATATAAATATATGTGCGTGTGTAATATATATGTAAATCAGCCCATTGATTATAAAAAAATAGGACACAGATAATGGAAATTTTAATCACGTTGCTCCAGAATGTGTTAAGAAAATTAAATATTTATCGCCCAATTGCAGAAAAAGTTTAACTGCTACACTTTAAATAACTAATGTAACATTTAACTTTTATAAGCAATTGATATATTTAATATGATATAATATATATTAATTTATATTCACAATTATCAATAATTTATATACAATATGATCTCGTAATGTTTTGATAATTTTAATTCATTCTTCCTAAGAATTCATATATGACAAATAAATAATATGATTCAATGCATATCATGATAATTTATTTAAAGTTTATTATAAAATATTCTTTATTACGTATTAATTTTTTTAAGTCATCATTCTCATAGTTTTGTTGTTGACTTTTTGTTCGCATAATGAAGAAAATAAACTATTATTAAACAAAAATTAGTAAATAAAACTTTAACGAACAAATTAAAATTTTATCAGAAAAAATTGCACGATTTAACATTTAAATATGTTGAAATCATTGATTTGTTTTAATCAAAAAAACATGCAATATTATTTGAAAGAATTTGAAAAAATGTATATAGCATACAGTTCTAATAAGTAGGTTCAGCAGAAATCATTATATGTATATAAAGATTAATTCAAAATTAGATAATATTTCAATAAAAAAAATTAAACCACCCATTTCCTGCAACTAGGGCACAACTTTGAATTCCCGAAACAGTCTGCCTGCTTTTGAACAACACCATCGATTCAGTTGTACTAAGAATGTGGCATTTCCATGCATTACCATATATCAATGATTCGGTTCAACTCAAATTCCAATTAAACTAATCATTCATTTCTGATAAAGCAAAATAATCCAAATCTTAAGCTTCACTCAATTCTTGACTGAAAACAAAATGGTATACATAATTGACTAAATGAAATTATCGTGTGTTACTTCAAAGCAATGAAACTTGTTGGTAATTTTTCTCTATATTATTTATATCAATAACATTAAAACTCTTATACATAGTATTACACTGTCAAAGTATGTAATTATATTATAAAGTATTTATAATTGTATTATAAATAATCAAAATTCACTAAAATTATGCAAACATGCTATGTTTTATATAAAATGCTGATGAATAAGCAACAATTATTTATACAATATAGAATATAATAACTTTGTACTTTAGCATTAACTGGCAAAATTATGGTACAAATTTGATCTTAAAAATATGGTAAATCGCATAAAAAATAATTAAAACTTATATTCTCTTAAATAGTATGATATAAATCATATATATGCAATTTTATATACAATTTAATATAATTTAATTTGTTTTCTTAGTACCATTTGATGACGATTGCTGGCCTTTAATTTTGTCAATTAAGTATATACAATACACATCCAGCATTATATAAATTAAAACATCGTTTTCAATAAAATTCACACGATTCATTCAATACTAAAATATACCTACACTATGGCCTTGTGGCGTGATTAAAAAGCTCTACGGTTTCGTCTGTTTCATTTTGAATGCGATAATTTGCACCTAGAAGATAATTATATAAATAGATAAATATGTAATATATAAATAAATCTATACATATGAATAAAATTGGCGTATATGTTTGTTATATTCAAATAGACTTTTTTTTAGAAATAGGGTACAAATATCAAATTAACATCTTTGAACATTTTTGTCTGTCTGTACAGACATTGCACTGATTTTGACGAAACTTTTTTTGGCAAATAGCTCATGTAATTGGACGCAACTTAAGCTACTTTTATTCGAAAGAAGTATCTTATGGTATCTTAGCTCATCTAACTGTACCTGAGATTTCGTCCAAGAAGAAAAATTAATTAATATATTATTATATCTTATAAAATTACCTTATACATAATGTTAATTCAAACTATTCTGTTACACTTATTACTTTTAAGTAATAATTATAAATTAGGTATATTTGTGTACAATATTCAGATTTAGATTGAAATTGATCAATTATTTACAGATTTTATACTGTATTTGTTACTGTAATTATTTAATTATTTTGGGGCGGCATTTTTTAGTTTACTTATACATAGTTGTAAAAAGCAACTTATTCATTTTATATTTATTAACTATGTATGTTATAGTAATGCGCCGAAAATCGAAAATGAAAATTTTTGCATTTCTTCACGTTTTGAAGGTTTCTGAACATTTTACTGGCATACCTCAGAAAAAATGGAAGTGTGTATGTTTTGTGTGTCCGCATTTTTTGCGTTCACATTTTCGGGCGCGCGGATCAACCGAATTGAATGGTTCAAAAAACATTCGATTCCTAATCATAGGGAGATGTGCTGATTAGTTTTTTGGGAAATATAATAGAAATCGAGTTTTTGAGAGAATGGAATATCCGATTTGAATGATCCAAAAAAATCAATTTGTAATGATGAGGAGAAGTGATGATTAGGTTTTGGCAAAGGCAGATCTAATCGTTCCGGAGATACCGAGCAAAATGTGCAAAAAATATCTGTTTTTGAGAGAACTAAGCATCCGATTTGAATGATTCAAAAAACATTCTACGTGGATTTTAATTTGAATTCTGCCTAAAGTTCAAATGCTCACTTATATACTTGAAATAAATAATTATAACTTTGTAATTCAATTTATATATTTCTTATAAATATTAGACATCGTCCTTCATTTTAAATTTGATTGATTGAGTTTCGTTTATTTACTTTTCTGTAAACATATATAAGTTACAGTATTTATAATTATCTATTTGAAAACATTTAATTTCCTCAAATATATCATTACGGTACATGAAGTTCCAGCAATTTGCCTTAAGTTACAATGCCATACACCGCTAGTTTTCTTTCTTGAATTATAAATGATTATTATGATTGTTATTATTGTCAATATTTAATTTATATAAATTAATATTAACTATATGATTTCGAATTTTATTCCTCGGTGTATATAAATGTATATTAGTGTACATTTTGAATTCTAATTTAAGCACAGGATGATAATTTTATTTTATTGTATTCATTAAAATTCGTTGAATTTGTATAAGCATCTTCACGATTTTGTTCGGCGATTTTTCCTAATTTTTTTTTATATCAGCTTATAAATGTCATTTCTTTTGAAAAGTTTATATGATTACTTTGAAGGGGTATAACGATATTTTTTTAAATCATCAATTTTTTTTTGAAAATCAGGGCTGACGGAAGGCGGTCTGCCTTAGGGCATTATATAAATATGTTAACGAGCGCATATAAATATGTGTAAAAAAAATTACTTGTGTATTAATTAACATTGATTAAATAACTTAATAATTTATTAAGTTATATAAATTTCCGTAGGGTAAGTTATATATAGTAATCGCAAAAAAATTTAAAGTGAAAATTTATATATATCTTTACGTTTTAGAAGTTTCTGAATTTTGGCATACCTTTGAAAAAATGGATGTGTGTGTTTAGATACAAACTTTTGTCGATGATTGTAGAAACACGCCTCAACCGATTTGAACAAAACATTCGATTCGTACTGATAAGACGTGCTAATTACTTTTTGGCAAAGGCAGGTCCAGCCGTTTCAAAGATACGGGGCAAAAAAGCCAAAAATTGTAGTTTAGTTTTTGAGAGAACGAAGCGTCCGATTTAAGTAATTCAAAAAACATTTATTTGTATTAACTAAACAAAGAACTGTTTTTGGGATGATAGGTCTAGCGGTTACAGAGATTCTAGACTGCAACGCGACGCTTACGCGCTTCGATATTTCGTCTCCAGCGCGATTGATTTGAAAAAAAGTTACAAGTTTTCAAAATATTTCAAAATATAAAAAAACAAATTTTTCAAAAATTTTTTTTCAAAATTCTCAAATATATATTTTTTTCAGATTTCAAAAATTTTTAAATCTTTTTTAAAAATTTTATGTTTCGGTACGGAAAGTTCCAGCAATTTGTCTTAAGGCACGATGCCTTGCATTACTTATAATTGAAAGGGCGGCAAAATCTGGAGATCGCCCCGGGCGGCAAAAGTTCTAGGTACGCCACTGGTTAAAAGTATTCGAAGTGGATTTATTACACATTATTGAAAATCGAACAGGTCAATCCGGAGTATTTTTGAAAAGCAAATTTTCAAAAATCAATAATTTTTATAATTGAGCCAGTTTGTTGTAGGACTTTCATTGTTCAGTACGTTCATTAAGACCAAATACTCTATCGTTATACCAAGTAAATGGTCTAATTTTAATTTTAACTAGTGGGGCGCATGGCATCGTGCCTTAAGGCAAATTGCTGGAACTTCCCGTACCAAAAATTATAATTTTTTTTAAAACGATTAACATTTTTGAAAAAGAAATTAGATTTTTGAAAAACTATAAATTTAATAAAAGATTATATTTTTTTGAAAAAAAAAAATTATTGTAAAAAAATGTTTTCTTTATTTTGACATATCTTGGAAATTCTGAACTTTTTTTCAAATCAATCGTACTGCTTTAACTGCATAGAGACGAAATGTCAAAGCGCGTAACGGATAAACATTGGTACGGAACCCATAGGAATGCAAACAAAATTTATACTTATTGTTAAAATCTCTATAAAATATCTGATAATTTGATGTACATATGTCCAATAAACGTTTTTGACCGCCAAATGGCATTTTTTTAACTTGCCTTCCCAAAAATTTAATCCAATCGAAGGCAGCTGGACCTGCCTTCCCAAAAATTTAATCAGTTCTTCATGTTGTCAATACAAGTAAAATGTTTTTTGAATTATTAAAATCGGACGCTCCGTTCTCTTAAAAACTGAGATATCGTTTTTGGCACTTTTTGCCCCGTATATTCGAAACGACTAGACCTGCCTTCGCCAAAACTAATCAGCACGTCTCCTTATTAATACGAATCGAATATTTTTTGAATTATTCAAATCGGTTGATCGATGTTCCCGAAATCGTCGACGAAAATTTGTATCTGCACACACACACAAATATCCATTTTTTCTAAGATATGCCAAAATGTTCAAAAACCTTTGAAATGTAGAGATATATAAAAATTTTCATTTTCGATTTTTTGCGATTACTATACCTTACCCTACGGGAAGTTAATCAATAAGATAATTATTTCGAAAATAAAGATTTCGCTTTCACTAGAAAATAATTAATGCGATTTCTAATTGATATCTTTCAACATGTTTATTCAACAACATTTCCAATTGATGTCTTTAATACATGTTTATTAAGTATACTTATAATATCTGTAATTGTATAAATTAAAATAATTTGTTTATGCGTGTTCAAAATATAATAAAAATGTATTTTATTTAAGTGTATGCGTCAACTGCCATCAGTAGCTACCAACGAAACACAGATGCTCAGAACAACATACACCTGCTCTGCTTATATTTTGATTAGAATCGCTTATTGTAGGCCGATAATATTTAGTGTGTTATTTCAGACTATAAAATCTATTGCCATACAAAGTTTCATCAAAATCGTCAAAAAACAGCAATGTAGATCTTTACGAAAAACTAACAAGCACTTCCAACTCACATTTTTCAAACAGTTTTCGAATTATTAAAATCCATTCAGGATTTTGTGCTAGAATATGAACGAAAAAATTAGAACAAATAAATCCAATAATTTCAGAAGAACGAAATTAAAATTTAACAGTGCCATGAATTGATAATACATGCACACACACACACACACGCATATATATAATATATATATATATATATATATATATATATATATATATCTATATAAAGCGAGAGGTTTTTCTTCAGATGGTGAAATAATATAATGAAATTGTTTCTTGGGCATCCATCCAGTAATTAAAAAACAGTTTTAATGAAAAATGTTTTTATTTTAAGAACATACGTTTCGGGTCCTGATTTGACCCATCGAAAGAAGAAATACTTAATTCATTTTTTATCTCTCCTTGCAAAAATTTGAAAATTTTGTATAAGCTCAGTAGTATTATTTACAATTATACACAAAATCCAGAATCCAAAAAGAATCTGAAAAACTTGAAACGTAATTAATAAGCCGAAAGACCAAAAAAGACTCGGATTGGATTATACGATGTTTTCTAAAAAGTATATAAAACTTGCAGTTTGATTGTATTGACAAAATATAGACAAACTAATGGGGCTTATTGTTTTTATAATACCTAATTTTATACAGCATTCAAACAACACATCCTTATGCACTTAAAGTATTAATATTTTTGATTCTCTAGAAATGGTTTAGAATATACCTTATTTAGCAAAACAACTTTTGCCGGGTCAGCTAGTATATATATATATACTATGTACTATAAACATGTTACTGCGTTTTGCTTTGGGAAGGAAGCTGTCGCTTTCTCGTCTCAGAGGCAGTTTTATGACCTTTTAGGTACGTTTTTTTCCAGAAAATACAAAAATATTACTTCAAAGATACAGAACAATGCAATTGTGTTCAAGTGTGAATAGCTCCAATGTATAATTTATTGAATAGTAAGGGGTCATATTTCTAACTACGACAATCTTTGGCCGTGAATGAAGGCATTCAGGAATATACATACCGAAAAATACACGAAACAAAATACATATAATCTGGTTTTTCCATAGCCTGAAATAACAACACTTTAGAGTGCAAAATATATCAGTGACGTCAATAGTATTTAAGCAGAAAAAAATATATAGTATTAAATTTTTACTTTTACACAATTATATAATGGTGTAAAAGTAATAATATGCTAATCGAACTACCCGATATAATATTAATTCTCGAATGGAAGTAGCAGAAGAAAAAATTAGAAATCAGAAGTATTATTATTTGGTGAAAATATTTTATGATAGATGTTTTGCTTTTATTACGAAGTTTATTACATTATCTTCTATATATATATATATATATATATATATATATATATATATATATATAAATAAGTCGGGTTTTCCTTTCTGACGAAATAATTCCAGAACGCACAAACCGATTTCGACAATTTTGCATTCGTTGGAAAGGTCTCGGGCTCCGCAAGGTTTTAACATTAGTGAGAATTATCAGAATTATGCGAGTCAACGAGCAATTCTTGCCGCAAAGAATAATGACGTACACGCACTGAATTTCACCATTCAATCAAAAATTGCTGGCGATTTGGTGACATACCAATGATTCCGACTGGTCTTCCGTTTGACTTCAAACGATTGCAATTGCCAGTTCGCCTTGCGTTATTTTCTAAATAGATTATTTAGAAAATCATTGTTTTTCACATGGGCAGTTATACGTTGCTTGTGTTAACGTCAGATCAAAAAACAAAAAATGTGGTTTACCAAAGAGCACTTCAATGAAACGGATAATTTGCGGATTCACTTTCATTTACTTAGAGAAGTTCAACTAAAAAACACTTCATTTTTGTAATTTAAATAAATTCATTACTGTTGTGTAATAAAATCATTTTTTTTCTTTTCAAATATAAAACAAACAAAAAATTTCTTCATCTTTCTCACAAAATCATCTGGTGGCGAAACGGAGTTTGTCGGGTTTGCTAGTTTTTATATAAAATTAATCCAAAAATCAATTATTTTTTCATCAAAAGAAAATAACTCAAATTTTGCGTTTTTACTTTGGTCAACACTGTTAAAATTACGAGTCATTGAGTCGATCATGTGGTCGACCGAAAAATTTTACAACTCGTCATTTATTTGTAAATTTTTTAGAAAAATTATTATAATATTTTTTAATTTTATTTTATTCATAAATTTTTATTTCAAAAAATTAAATTGTATTTGACAAATCCTTAGATGCATAAACAACGCACTATAGAACGCATTTGTGTCGAGTATTTCGGTTTCAAAGTTTTCGGAGTCGTGGAGTTGTTAAGCGGATATAACTCCTCCCTGAAGCGGAGTCAAATCCGAGTCGATCCGGCTTCGGATATGATAAGCCATCTCTAATTATATATATATATATATATATATATATATATATATATATATATATGCATGTGCATGAACTCAATTATGAATATGTGTTGTTTCTAATGTTTACATGTACAAAAACTACTTCATGGTGCGTGGTTCAAGTGATATCATTTTTATGTATATGCAGCCTCTCAAGTAATAAGTAAATTGAACCATATATAAAAATAAAGACTTTATATAATGTAAGAAAAAAATGTGACTTACCACATGGAATGAAAAAGATATCTCCATCTTGACGAAGTTTTATATCTTTTTCTAATGTTACTTTCACTTGACCCCTTACGACATAAAATAGCTGTAAAGACAAGGATATATATTATTGATACAAGAATAATGATATTAAAAAAACATAAAAACATACATTAGAGTAATTAATTTTGAAATATGAATAAGTTTTTCTATGGTGATAATGATGTTAACATAAAATTTTATGTTGAATCATTTGGAATATTAAAGAAAAATTTATAAATCTTTGCTTTTTTTATTCGATGTATCTGCTTAGAAAATTTACTCATATATATTTTTATTTTAAAACATTAATCAAATAAAAAAATACTAAAGCGAAATGACTTTCATAATTGTGCTTTTATAAGTATCTTTATTCGTTTTTTTAATGAAATATGATGAGTTTTTTAACTATCATATAAAAAATGTTGCTCAGTTTCTATCTATTGTTTTGAATTATTTGTATGGTTTACTGTTTCTTTTCTTTATATGTTAAACATTTATTAATCGTGGATTTTTTTATATTTGTCATATTACTATTAACATTCATTATTTATTCATATTGCTATTTCTTAATGTAGAACTGAAGTAATGTAATACCGCTTAACGCTGTATCGTTTAGCGCTCTTTTATTTCAACCCAGGTTTTGAAGAAAAAAAATGTGGAAGACGTCGAAGAAATAATTCAAGAAGCAGCGCAGTCTTTCTAATGATGACGGCAGTGATTCAGAGGAAGAGCAAAAGGAACTTTCGATGGCGTTTGTGAAAATGAGTTTGTCTACCATAACTGAAATAACGGATCAATTCATTGAAGATGATCCGAATTTTGACAGCAGCTCAAAAATATGGAGTGGTGTTAGAGGTGCTCTATCCGTTTATGAAGAACTTTTAAGAGAACAACGCAAAAGAAAAATATTAGATGCTTTTGTCACAAAAAGACTGAACTGACTTAGAATTTTATGTTCTTCAAGAATTTTCGTGTTGTTATTTATATTTAGTTTTTAACTTCCCGAAGGAGAAGTTTATGTTTTCATCAAAAAATCCGATTCGCTAATTTTATTTGTTTTCGACGTTTCAAGCCATTCTGAATCGAATGAGATCAAATTTGGAAAAAGTATGTATGTGTGTGTATGTGTATGTGAACAGATTTTTTGCCGTAAATCGACGTTTTCTCAAAAACGGCTGGACCGATTTCAAAAATTTAAAAGCCATTCGATGTATTTCGATGAGGGCTATCGTTTGTCAGTTTTGCGCTACGATCAGCCAAGCCGTTTCTCTGTAAATCGCAGAAAAGTGAAAAAAATTTCGTCCACGTTTTAGTCCGCAATTCTGAATCGATTTTAAAAATTCAAAAACTGTTCGAAAGATATTGGTTGGGAATCGTGCTGATTTTCTTGTAATAGGGTGTTAAAAAAAATTTTTCGACGATTTTTATAATTATTTTTTTGACGGTAGATCTTATAGCTCATATTAAAAAAACGCCTGAACCGATTTGAAAAATTTAAAAGCCATTTGATCGTATCTCGTTGAGGATTATCGTTTCTCAGTTTTATGCGACGATCGGCCGAGCCGTTTCTTTGTTATTTGAAAAAAAGTGTTAAACAAAAAAAAGTCTTTTCTTTCACACTTAAAGTATACTACCGAATCGATTTTAAAAAATTAAAAACAGTTAGAAATGATACTGATTAGTTTAGATAAAAATCTACCGAGCCGTTTTCTTGTAATTAACTGTTGAAAAAATAATTTATGCTAATTTTTATGAAACTTTTTTTGGCGATATATATCATGATCTTAGAGAACTTACTGAAATATTACGGCCTTACGATAAGTAGTACAATTTTTAAAATTCCCCAAAGATTAAGGAGTAGTTTTTTTGACGTTTGTTAAAATTAAAATTAGACGATTCAAACAATCAATTCATAATGACGGGGAGAAGTGGTGATTAGATTTTGGCAAAGGGAGGTCCAGCCGTTTCGGAGATACCGAGCTAAATGTGCAAAAAATATCCGTTTTTGAGAGAACTAAGCATCTGATTTGAATGATTCAAAAAATCTTTCTGCTTATTTTGGCAAAATAATTGCTTTTGAAAAAAAATTATTTCAAAAATTTTTTTCCTCAAATTTTGTTTGTATATCGAAAATAATTCAGATTTTAATTTTAATTCTGGGTAAAGTTCTAAAGCTCACTTATATACTTTAAATAAATAATTTTAACTTTGTAATTCAGTTTAAATAACTCTTATAAATATTAGACAATGTTACAGTGTTTATAATAATATATATTAAAACATTTAATACTTCTTGAATATATTTCGTTACGGGTAATTCCAGCAATTTGCTTTGAGGCACGATGCCATACACAACTAGTTAAATTTAATACATAACCAATTTCCTAGCAATGTATAATTTAAGTAATTTAATTTAATATATTACCAAATCATGTTTGTTCGCAGACCCCATAGCTTTGTCTCCTCTTGGCGCTATTAAAATACGTGAGCACCTCGTTCCATTTGGAAGTGCAAACATTGCTCTAGATATATGTTCTGTTAAAGGCTCGTCAGCCAGATCTTTAGAGAAACAACCTGAAAATAGTAATTTGATTATTAATTGGCAGAAAAGAAAATATATAAAAAGTTTCTTCACAAACGGAAGAATTGAAGAAAATATCCATGTATTCTTGGAAACATAATTTCCATAATATATATTTTGGCATAATAAATTAAATGAAGCTATTATATACAGAAATAATCAATGAAAATAGAATGTATGTGAAATCGTGTTCTTTTTTTTAAATTATTTATATACATTATTTAAAATTTAAATCTTCAGATTTTAGAACCTTAGTTAATAATTTTTTGTTAAATTATACTAATAACAATAAATATGAATAATAATCTTGACCATAAAACAATCAGTTTGACAAAGAGTTTATATAGCATTTTTGAAAAAAACGGATTAAATATTAAATGTCTAAAAAAAAAAAATTATTATGAGTACACCAATGAAGTAATGTAATGAAGATAACTGAAATACAGAAAATATATAAAAATATTAGGACTTAAGTATAAAATTTGGAGAATAACTCTTTACATATCAGAGACATGAACCCTAAGTCCGACAAAGCTATCTGAAAGGTTTTGAAATATGGAATAAAAGACAAAGGAAACACATAAGATAATAAATAAAGAAGTGCTGAGAAGCAAAGGCAAAGAGAGAGCTTACTGAGCATGATCATTAAAAGGAAAGAAATCTGAGTAGGACCCCTTCTATACATGACGTCCTTGAAGGTAAAATAGAAATGTAATAGTCTGGGAAGAAAAAGAATAAAGATGATTGATGACTAACATAAAAAACAGAAAATACAGAAGATACAGGAAACTGAAAGCCAAAGCACCGGACCAGTAAGTATAAAGCAGAAGAATTGTGAATGTGGATGTGAATTAAAAAGTGATTAATGGTAAGAAAATGGTAATAGAAATAATAAACAAAGAAGGGAAAGGGAATCATTGATTTGTGGTGCTCTCATACCATAGACCAGCCTTCACACAGACTACCATTCATTAGTATTACAAATGAATATACTGAAGAATGGCTGGAGACAGCTGCATCAAACTATTTATGTAAAACAAGCAGTAAAATACCTGCAACAGTTTTACACATAGTACTATATTATGTAAACGCCGATGGAGATTTTCTGTTTCAAAAAGTTATAACTTTTCAAGACTGCCAGTATGGTCAAGACTACTGTATAAAATTTTCAACAAATTATAAAAATATTTACAACAAACAAGGTTTTAAATTTTAAATTATATAAAAAATAAATAGTTTGACATTATTAAAAATGCGATTATAATTATATTGCTATTCAAATAACTTTTATACAACATTAAGATATAAATGGTTCCATTGTATAATTATTATTACCTGATACGTCATAAATTTTTGAATCCGAATGCGTTATGGGATCACCTTCATTTGCTCCAGGGGGATCCAAGTTACCTGTGACTGGAACGCCTGGAGGTAAACATATCTCAGTAGCAATATTGTCTATATTTTGTTTCAACTTTTTTCTCCTTGAATTACACTGTATTTCTTCATTTCCATTGATTCTCCTTTTGTGGCTTCTGGTCATGCGAGCAGATTTTGAGATTTTCTTTAAATTACTGGGTAATTCCGCAACAATTTGAGATGCAACTTGTGCTAAATCATTTGATGCTTGTGACACTACATTTTCTTGTCTTTCCGTGTCAACATAATCTGGCACAGAAGTTCCCTCTGTTTCAAACAAAATCATATCTTCTGTGACATGAATTTCAGGTACAACAGGTATTTCAAAAGATTCTTTTGTTGCATCATTGCGTTTTGAACTTTTCATTTTTTCATCAGAGTCTGATTTTTCAAATTCATCAAGACTTTTTCTTAGATTTTCTGTATTACTGGCTGTAGCATCTGTGGGATTCCTGGGTACTTCACTGATAACTTCTAAGTCTACTTCTTCTAAGTTGCCTGGAGCATTTTCATTCAGCGAAGCATTCACTTCAGTGGCAATTTTATCATTAGATTTCGAATTGTATCGGCTCTCCTGTGTCTTTTGGCTAAGATCCTTATTTGCTGAACTTTGTTCAGCTGTGATTTTTGTATTATTTTCTACATGTATTTCAGAAGAGTAATTCGATAATCTATTTATAATTCTATTTATATTCGCCCTTTTTTTATTATTTAATTGATTTTGTTTATTTGAATGTGGTTCTTGAGACTTTTCTGCTACAGCATTTGTATTATTTGTTTTGTCACTTTGACTTGTAGCTTTTTGTTTGGATTTTTTAGAATTACCTTTTCTAGATACTGTAGATTTTTTATTGGTTTCAGTTTTACTTGATTTTTGTTTCGTCTTATTAGGTTCTCTCATAAGGGAATATTTTTTTATATTTTCTTCAGGAATTGTTTCAATTTCTCTTAAACCGTTCTCAACATATTTATATTGAATTCGACAATCAGACAGCCAATATGGCACAGTTTTAACTTTAGTACGAGCCGATCTGCGTTGTGTTGAAACGGAGTCTGATTGCAATTCTGGTACAATATTAGTTTTATTATTCAAAACATTTTTTTTCCAACGTGATTTAGACTTTTTATTTTTGAAAGAATCATTAGGATTAGAAAGTCTATTTTCAATTACATTAGCAGAGGTGCTTGGCATAGTATATATGTCAATTTTTGATGTTCCAATATCTTTTTCCTTATGCTTAGTTTTATTCAATTGTAAATAATTGCAATTATCATTTTGATCAGAAGAAGCAAGATTAACATTGTCAACATCACAATGCACCAAAATATTTGATGTGCCAATATCCTTTCCCTTATGATTATTCAATTGCAAATATTCACAATTCTCATTTTGCTCAGAAGTTAAAGAAGTAAGATTATTAGTATTGCAAGGTTCCATGATTTTGGATGTGCTAATATCTTTGTTATTATGCTTCGTTTTGTTTATTTGGACACTTTTTTCATTATTACAATTCTTATTTTGACCAGAGGTTGCTGGATGAAAATTATTAACATCATCTGCCATAATTTTTGATACACCGATGTGTTTGACATTGCTTTTGTTCAATTGTGAATGATTGCTCAATTGGTCTTCATTTTGCTCAGTTGTTGTATGATTACAATTATCAACAATTATCTGCACATCAGGGTTATATAATTTCCGCCTTGTTGCACTTGTTTGATTTAATGTCATATTAGAAGAATTTATATAGGAATCTGAGACGTTCTTTTGATGTTTTCTTGTTTTTCTACTATGTTCTGCAATCAGTACTGAATTATGACGTATAACTTCATCTTTATCAATATTCTTTGAATTTGATGATGTTTTTCTTGTCTTTTTCACCTGGCTTGTCTTTGGCTTACTAAATAATTCTTCATTCTCTTCTGGACTTAATACACCATTTTTATTTCTACCACATTGATCAATGATCATTTTAAGACGTTCCTGACTATTTTGTAACTGTATAAAACTCTTTTGACTTTTATCTAAAGCAATATTGCTAGAATTTGATGTATTTTTTAAAATCGGATTCTGAGTAGATAACTCATCTCTTTGATTTTGATTATCATCAACATGTTTTAATATGTTACTAACATTTGATTGATTTATTTTTCCGCTTACTTTAGTTTTAGATTCTCCATGAAGATTTTGGTTGACATTCTCAGAATGAACTGATAAATTTGGAGGAAGCAGTGGTTCTTCTTTATCCTTTGATAAAATAACATCATTTGAGGTATTTGCCAAATGATTATTATTAAATCGAGCTATAGATACTGTGCAGATTTTTTCAGTTGGAGTTGCCGTGTCTATACAAGGACCATTACCATTATCATTTATATCATTATTTTCAACCAAATTTGATTTAAATTTATTATGTAAATTTTTCAAACCATCCTTTTGTTTATTGCCAACATTTATTGTTATCAAAGGCGGCATGATGCTTGCCCTTGTTTGATGTATTTTGCTGATTGTCATTCTATGACTATCCCAAAGGGATGTATCATTAACATTATGACCATTAATTTGTTCAGATTCTACTTTATCTTCTAGTCTGTGCTCTGAATTTCGTGAAATTTTTGAAGTAGATTTCTCAGCTACTTGTTGATGTGTTAAAGCAGGAATTTCAATATGTTTTACTGGTAATATTTTAGATTCATTATTCACATTTTTCTCTTCAGAATGTATTTTTTGCAAAAATAACTGTTTTGAAAGGGTAATTTTATTACTTTTACCTTTTTTTGTTTTCAATTTATTTATTTTCTGTGGCAGTTTTGTCTCGGTGCTAGAGTCAGACTTTACTATTGGAGAATCAAGGGAAATGTTAAATGGTATTTTCATGCCACTGTTGATAGGAGTACTTGAAACATGGTTAGTAAATATCAATTTTTTATTTGTATAATTATCTCCTTCATTTATTTCTGGTGTGCGTTGCGGTTCGCTTTTTCTTCGAGTGCATTGTGCTGGACATAAAGTAATATCTGATAATATTATTATCTTTTTATTGTTATTTTGTTCAGTTTGAGCAACATCCGGATTTATTTTTTTTGAATTAGTCTGTACTTGTCGAACTTTAGGGATATTGAATACAACAGGTTGTGGCAATTGACAACTTATCTCCTCGTTACTGGTCTAAGAAGATATAATATATTACATATAATCAGATTGAAAACGACTTCATTAATATAAAGATCAATTACCATTGCAGATCCCTCGGCCGAGACAATGCTGTCTGAATTTGAAATCCATGCTGATGGAGCCAAACTGATGGAAAAAGAAATATATGACATTCAGTATTAATCAAGATAGACAAAAATATGATTATAACTGAACACACTATGTGATTATATAATCTATTCACTAGGACTAAGGAAAAAAAATTATAATAAGGAAAAAAAAGAATGTAGATAAAATAATTTAGAAGAATCTAGCAAATATTTGGTTTCCAAAAATCGAAAAAGAATCAGCTGCAGATTACAGTGGAAATCACTTATTTGCTTTTGGTTTGTTCGAATTGAGAGTACTGTTTGTTTAAATTGGTTTAAAGCGCTATATTTGAATAAAGATAAAATTAAATACTTCCATCTACAAATTGTTTCCCTTAACATACTACACTTATGACATGTAAATGTACTATAACTTGTATTGTTTATATAATGTTAGTAATATTTAAATTAGTTTTAAAATGTAAATTGAGTTGAAGAGGACTACTACGCTCAAAAAATATATGTAGTACTTCTATAATCTTTGTAATAAATACATTAGTTTTAAAATAAAAATTGAGTTCGTTAATTTTTTCTTATTCCAAAACAACAGACTTTAAGAATGCAAAAGAACGTTAGAATGGCGTTTAACTTACCCTCTTAACTGTCTTAATCGCATTTTTCTTATATTTAGATACCTGCAATGAATTATATACACTTACACTAGTACATTAAAAGTAAAAAAAAATTAATGCTATAAAAAAGCATTCAAAACACTTAGAAAACAAATAAAACTTTTATTAAAAACTTGTTTACAAACTTTGTAAATTATTACAGACATTTCGTTCGCCAAAGATACAATCACTATTTGTAGATAGATAGAACATGTGTATATGATATGATTAAATTTTTGAATAGACCATAGAGACTACATAGACATAGACAGAGACATGGACGACGCCTGAGAAGGTCCCAAAAGAGCCTTTAGCTTTAAATGTGATCAATTTGGTTTAGAAAGGAAATTATGCATTTCTCAAATCATTTACATATTCTGATGTAAAATTAAGGCAAACAACATATTTAGCATACAAAATGTTTAGCCTTCTCGGTACTTCAAATTTATATTTAATATTATTTTATATACTTTAAAATTTAAATTTCTTTATTTTTCTATATATTTGGTATAACACCTAGACAATATAATAATAACAACATAATGAAATATGTAATAAAATGTTTAGTATAAAAAAATATTTTCATCATTTCAACGAGATTCGCCAGAGTGCTCTGTCACAGGCGATGAATGTATATGAGCAAAGATTTACATATGATTTTCGACGAGAATAATTGTATATTATCATCAAGTAATAAAATATAACATTTTCCCCCATTTGTTTATATTCATCAATTAATTATTGAGCAATGAATTGATTATTTGACTGCATGGTTGGTTTTGTGTGCCATTTTGAATTGTTTTTATAACCGTGTGATCATGTTACTTGTTTTTGCAGTATCACCAAATTGTAATTCCACGGTGCAATTAAATTAGCTTATCGCTCGTGTGCTTATCTTCTTTCATACAGTAAATGACACAACGTATATTAGAAAGGGTTAGGAAAATGTTGCCCCAAGTCATTTTCGTTCTGGGAGGACCTGGATCAGGTAGAATATTAATGAAATATATCACTATTATGCGTTTTTGAATCGTTCACTTTTTTCTTAGGAAAGGGTACTCAATGCCAAAGAATTGCCAATGAATTCGGTTTTGAACATCTTTCGGCCGGCGAGCTTTTACGTCAAGCTAGATCTGATGAACATACGCCTCACAGGGCCATTATTGATGATTGTATTGTTACTGGAAAAATTGTACCGGTTGCAGTAACATGCAGTTTACTAGAAGAAGCTATGATTAAATCGGGAAAGTCAAAGTTTCTCATAGATGGATTTCCACGAAATTATGATAACTTAGAAGGTTAGTTGAACAATGCTCTTAAATAAACAACCCATTTGCCTATCTTTCACTAGGGGTAATTTGAAAATAATTTACATTTACAAATTGAAAATGAATTGTAAAAATCTGATACACTATTATATTAACCTAATAAACTTGAATTAAGTGATTTTGTTTTTGTTCTAGGGTGGAATGCCACAATGGCTGATAAAGTAAAATTATTGTTTGTTTTGTTTTTCGAGTGTTCTGAAGAAACTTGTACCCAAAGATGTTTAGCGAGAGGAAGTGCTGGCTCTGGCCGAACCGATGACAACCTTGAAAGTTTGAAAAAAAGATTTGAAACTCATATGAATCAAACAATGCCCATTATTAATCATTATGAAAAAATGAACTTAGTGCATAGAATTGATGCTATGAATTCTGTAGATGAAGTGTTTAATAGAGTCAAAACTGTTATACAAAAAAGTTTAGCAGAAAGTGGAGATTCTTAGAGATTCAATTATTTTAATTTATTGAATTATAAGGCATATGTGTTTATATTTAAATTAATTTTATATCAAATGCCATGTAAACAGCAGATTTTACCAAATCCTACTTCACATGTACTTTAATGTATTGCTAGAAAAAATTTGATATTTTTAAAAATAGGCATGCCAATGTGGTTGCCTTCCCATTAGTACAAATTTGGGTTTTATATACTTATTGATACAAAACAAATTGTATTGATTTTTATTATATTGTACACAGCAACAATAAATTAATAAACCCTTGCTTTTACTTTTATGTAAATAAAAATTTGCAATACATGCTTGCAAATTAGTCAGTTGACTAAACTAATTGAAAATTTAAAGCAATGTTAGGTTGTGCAAAAATAAATTAGTGAAGGGCATTAATAATGCTATTAGTTAACTAATAGTGTCTTAATAGAATTGCTCAAATTTTTTATGATGCTCTGCTATTTTACTTGATTAGAAAGTGCTGCGAATTCAAAGAATGAACACAATTTTCATTATATATTGAGTAATATTTGTTTAATTTTGGATTGCTGTAATTATTCACTCCGCTTCTAAATAAATGAAAAAATAGAAAAAAGTACTATTAGTTGTAAAGGTCATAATGATTCTAAACTTGCATGTTCTTTTGCAAATTTATATGTTAAAGAAAGTCTTTTTTAAGAAATGTATATTTAGATTAACTTACAAGAATTATAATACCTATAGTAAAACTTACTTATACAATTTAAAACTAATTTTTATCATTATGCAGTGTCAAAAGAAATATGTATATTTTTAAAACGTACCAGTTTCTGTATTTCCTGAATCTGTAATAAAAAGTAAAAGTTTATTCAAAAATATATTTAAAAAATCTAAAACAAAACTTTGACAAAGAAGTCTTAGAATAACCTGTATATTATTACTTATGGAAATTGGTATCTATTTACAATTAATTAATCTATGGCGGCCATTGCTCTTGCTTGTGCTTTTACCCTTTTATCATATTCCATTCGATTTTGGCTGAAAAAACAAGTCAAAGCTATTTTATTCAGGTTAAATAAGTATTTATATATAGGTTGAGATTCTCAAATTACTGCTACTTAAGAACATGTTTAAAGATAGATTTTAAAGTATCATTGGCTTCGATATAAAGAATGAACTGTGTATTAGCAATAGTGTTGAATAAAATTGTAATTATTAAGTGTTATTTCAATCCTAATAAAATCTAGATTATGCCTTAAATGAATTTATAGAATACTCAACATATTACTCTGTTTATTAATATCCTTACCAGTATATAGTATATGCTTCTGCTTGAGCGGGATCTTTTACATTAGGCTCATTTAACAAATCCTGAATCCCCAATAAAATTTGTTTAATAGTAATTGCGGGATCTTTGTCCTCATCCAGCAAGGACAAACACATTCCGGACGGGTATACATTTGGATGAAATAATGGTGGATCAAACTTACATTTTGGAGGTGTTGTTGGATAGTCATCCTTGAAAATCATTTTTAGCTTGTATAAACCTCCTTCCCAAGATGTCTGAAAATTACAAAATCTTTTAAATGTATAATAAAATAAATATGAAATATTTGACAGTAAAGTAATATTTATTTATTTATAAAAACTTGACACAACTTAGTTAAAATCTGGGTACTCCGATTTATGAATCTGTAAAGCGATCGGTGAATTTTAAAACTATCTGTATAATGGAATATACAGATTATTATAAAGTATAAACATTTGAAATATTGAATATATAAAATTACTTTTATTACTAGTTTATTCTCATGTGAGATAGAATGTCACTTACAGACATATATTGTTACATACATAATTCAAGAATGCTCATTCGTAGGGAATGGCTCTAATATAAGAATTACATAAACCTCAATTTTAGCAAACTTACCGCTTTCTTGCCTGGAATAGCGCAATCCCATGTCATGAGATTTAATGTACCATCGGCATTTTTCATCGGCCTGGCGACGAAGCCCTATAGAAATTTCCAGGTTATGTTTTATGAAATAATGACAACCATTCGATGCGTTCGAAATATACAAACATATAATTCATAAACGGTGTATATAATGAAAGTGTACTTACAAATGGGTGATCTTTTCGCCATGCTTTTCTTTCTTCGCCAAGTCTTGTAACCGCTATTCCTGACATATTTCAAATGATGCAAAAACTTTAGGCGGACTAATACTTTTGTAGGTCAGGTAAGTTGAAATTTGTTTTTACAGTTGTAGTTCCCAAAGTAGTTGAATTTTCCAAATATCTAGTTTTCGATGGCGCTAAATTTTATAACAATAGTGCAAAATGGCTGAATTTACTTGGAAATGTAATCTGTACTACACAGTCCTACGTTCTGACTGGTGGTGAGATTGCTTTTTCACTTTTATGGCATTTAGTAATGACTTCCTTATGTTGGCTACCCTTACAGGAAGAATGAATACTGTCAGGTAAAACAAAACACGCGGGATTTTTAAATTGATATTCACCTTTTTAATTATTTCGAACGTGGTGTGCTTTCGTATGCTATTTAAATAATGTATTGCATTTATTCTCGCCTTCTAACATACGCCAAACTACCCTTTTACTTAAATTAACCTTTCTAAATCTGATTGTATTCAATATTAATGTAGATTTCAAGTAAAAAATAGTACGTTTTCTAATGATTTTCTGTAAAATATCGATGCTAAATTGATTAGTAACAAAAATAACAATTGATAATAAACTAGCTGTAAGTGGAATTCTGTCTTGAGGCAATTATGGCATCGTGCCTTTAAGGCAAATTGCTGGAACTTCCCGTACCGTAACGAAATGTTCGAGGAATATTAAATATTTTCAAATAGATTATTATAAATATTGTAACATTGTCTAATATTTATAAGAATTATATAAACTGAATTGCAAAGTTGAAATTATTTGTTTAAAGTATATTAGAATTATAGTCAGAATTAAAAATGAAATCTGAATTATTTTCAAAAAACTAAAAAAAAAAAAAAAAAATTGAACAAATTTTTTTTTTCTAAAATCAATTATTTTGTTAAGACAAGCAGAAAGTTCTTTGAATCATTTAAATCGGACGCTTAGTTCTCTCAAAAACTGCCATTTTTTACATATTTAGCTCCGTATCTTCAACATGGCTGGGCCTGCCTTTGCCAAAAACTAATAAACACTTCTCCCAATCATTACTAATTAAATGTTTTTTAGATTATTCAAATCGGATACTCCGTTCTCTCAAAAATTCGATTTCTATTTTCTGCACTCTTTGCTCCGTATCTCCGAAACGGCTGGACCTGCCCTTGCCAAAAACTAATCAGCTCTTTTCCCTATCAATAGGAATCGAATGTTTTTTGAACCATTCAAATCGGTTGATCCGTGCGCCCTAAAACGTGACTGGAAATTTGTATCCATACATACATACACACACACACACACACAAACATACACACACACATCCATTTTTTCTGAGGTATGCCAAAACGTTCAGAAACCTTCAAAACGTCGAGAAATGTAAAAATTTTCAATTCCGATTTTCGGCCCATTACAATAACTTACACTACGGGAAGTTAAAAAACTAGTGGTATATGGTATCGTGCCTTAAGGCAAATTGCTGGAACTTCCCGCAGCATAACGAAATCGAGGAGTATTAGATGTTTTCAAATAGATTATTATAAATAATGTTACAATTGTCTAACATTTATTTAAAAGAATTAATATTATATAAACTGAATTACAGAGTTAAAATTATTTATTTGAAGTATGCAACTGAGCTTTAGAAATTCAGCCAAAATTAACATTAAAATTTAAATTAATTTCGATATACAAAAACAAAAAATTAAAAAAAAATATATTATTATTATTAAAAATATATTAATAAATGAAACTGAAATGAAAATGAAAATTATAAATATATTAAAAAATGAAACAATTTTTTTTTCAAAAGCAATTATTTTTATCAAAATGAGCAGAAAGTTATTTGAATCATTCAAATCATATACATTTAGCTCTGTATCTCCGAAATGGCTGGACCTGTCTCTGCCAAAAACTAATCACCTCTTCTCTCATTACAAATTGAATATTATTTAGATCATTCATATCGGATACTCCGTTCTCTCAAAAACTCGATTTATATTTTCTGCAGTCTTTGCTCCGTATCTCTGTAACGGCTGGACCTGCCTTTGCCAAAAACTAATCAGCACATCTGCCAAAATGTTCAGAAACCTTCAAAACGTGAAGATGCGCAAAAATTTTCATTTTCGATTTTCGCCCGTTACTATAAGTTAATAAATATGAAGTCCTTTATTTGTACAATCTTGTTCATTTGATGTAACAAATTGATGTAATGAATAAGTACTCATTATACACCGGAATATGTACACCGGATATGTAATTAATATAGCAATTAAAAATGTTAAAATATACAACTAAAACAGATAAAAAATTATAAGTTATAAGTTTATTGTCTATTATTTTGTTACCTGTGTGTCAATCATTAATTGATAAATAAAAATGTATAATCCGCATAATGTATTATAAAATTAAAAAATTGGATTTTCTGGCGATAACATATGCTTCTTCTTTTTCAGAGAGTTAAAAACTATGAACAGAAAAGCTAAAAATAAACGTGAAAAAATATTTATGTATAGTAAAACACCAACGTCGAAATTTAACTATAACAAATGGAAAAAAGTTTGTTATGATTAATTATATTGTCAACAGTACTGCGTGGATTCTTTGTAAATTAAGAAAATGTTGCCTTATTAGGTTATGTATGTTAAATACATAAATGTACAAATATATACAAAAATAATTATTATCAATGGCCTGTAATACATGCAGAAGATTTTAATATGAGTTTTGTTACCTGCAGCTAAAACAGGTAACATGAGTAAAACTTCCAGAGATAAAAGCACGGTAACCTTCTTTAACCAGTTAACTGTGGCGTTCCATTCAAACAGTTTTGTGAATATATTGTCAATCGCAGAGTAAATTCCTCTGGCATCGAATAAAAAATATGGGTTATTTTACAAAATGGAAAAGTATATTACATTTTACTTCTATGTTTAAATAAGCATATATTACATACAAATTAAATGAAAAACGTAATAAATTCAATTAAATATTATACATATATGTATAATATATATATATATATATATATATATATATACAGGGCCGGTCCTGGGGTCCTCAGCGCCCGCTTGCAATTTTTTTCTAGCGCCCCCCCCCTAATATAGATAACTGTTTTAATAGTTTATTGTTAAAACAATATAAATATTAACGTAATTTTTTGTATTTAATTTAATTAATCATTTCGGATTTAGTACATAAAAAATTAATCTAAAACCGTATAAAATTAATTTGCGGGTTGATAATAATCAAATTTTTAAATTTTCACTTATTTCTATCGTAAGTTTAATATTAATATTTGGGTTTTGAAACATTTTACTTATTTAGTATGCCATATTTTCTATTGAGCAAATCATGATTAGAGGACAAAAAAAACTAGCCTTTCATTTTTAAACATAACACTCGGTATTTCATGTTGGATTTTAAAATTTTTAATTTAAATTATTTTTTCATTACTTACAATATCCAAAATTGCATCGTAAACTTCTCCTGATTGATATCGTAAGTGCCAAACTGTATTCATCTTTACTTTCCCATTAAATTCAGAGTATCAGATTGTTGTTTTGAAGTTAAGTTTTTAACGTATTTTAAAGGTATTGTCCAAAGATTAGTAAAAAATGCAAAGAATACATATTTCTTGAACTATACCGAAACAAAAAAAACTAATTATATTTGTATCTGTATTATTTTCGCATAGTAAATAATCAAATTTGGAGTATGAAACACCACTATATATACAAAAGCTCAAAGATTTTTGTTCCAATGTAAATTTTGCTTCCATTTTTCATATTTTCTTCATTTCCACGGCTTCAAAATTCAAAGTTTATCAGATGCAAAGCCTTTGCTATAAAAACAAAAGTTACAATTCAATTTCTCGGAATAAATAAGCCATTTAATTTGTATCTATTATTTTAACAAGTTCCGTTTCAACTAGTTACATAGACTATTATAATCTATTAAGTATTCTTGATTTTATATTGAAAAAAAAATATATATATATTATAAATTTTATATCCGAACCCCCTAAGGCTTGCGCCCGCATTTTTCGCATGCATTGCATGCAAAGTAGAACCGGCCCTGTATATATATATATATATATATATATATATATATATATATATATATATATACATATATATGAATTCAAATTCTTGCTGTAAAGTGTTACGAACAATATAAAATATTATTAGAAGTCCATTAATAACGTTAGCAATTTCTAAGATTTTTGGACCCCCGCTTTCCCTTGGCGATAGGTGGTAGTATTTGAAAAATAAATACACTAGACCCCCCTCCCCTACGTGATATTTCGTGATTTTTTGCCAACCCCCCCTGCTCCCTTTAAAGATCACGTGATTAATGGACGTCCACTAATAGGCCTACGGAGGGTAGATTAGTAAAAAAAAGGAAAAGTTTGGAATTATTACAGGTGCTCGAGAATTACTGCAGGAGGGGTAAGTAGAAACAAGCGTTTTTCAATAGGATCTTGAACGATATTAAAATATTTTTTAGTCTCGTTCGAACCGGTAAACCATTCTACATAATATTATCATAGCTACTGCCCCGCAGGCCGATGCAATACATAAACACGTAGTATAATTGCACTATCATAAAATTTTGGTTTGCGTTATTATTATCGACTATTATTAATTATTTTTATTTTTGATAATATGTAACAATTATTGTGATTGCTAAATTGTTTAAATAGTTATCCTAATGTAAAAAATCACACTTGGAGTTACAATATGCCCCAAATTTTGATTTAGATTTTTTTTTCTGCACTAGGAAATTTATAAATTAATTCAGCAACCGAGTTTCTTCATTCTACAAAAAGCCCTTTTTGCCATCGAAGATTAGACCACATTGGCTTTGGTAGGCAAAGATTTAAGATTAGTACCAAGAAAAACTACTATAATTAGCATTCACGAAAGAAAATCTACAGTATTGATGCATATTCCTGGAAAATAAATTTTTCAAATAGAACATGAAGAAAAGACAAAAAAAATATGATAAAAGTAAAGAAAAATGTAAATGAAAGGCGAAGAGGAAACTCAAAGGTGAATCAACAAAAATAAAACCTAAGTAGATAGAACTAAAAAAAAATTATATTCGAATTCAGAAACTAAATCAGCAGAGTGGTGTTTTCTGGTTTGTGGTAAATATTACACACAAACAAAGTAGATTGAGTAGATTGTATCAGAAGAAATGTGTCAGGAAAAATAGATAATTAAAGGTATTGTCATTACTACTTGCTCCGGTAGATGTTACAACTATCCCAAACACAAGGCAAGTTGTAATATCATTTTTTTTCTAGAAAATGATTTATTGTGATATAATGAACATTTTTTATGGAATTATTTCTACTTGATTAGAGAGAGGAGTAGTTCGTAGAGTAGTGGTGAGATCATTGCAACCACACGGTTTTGAGTTAATAACTGAATTTCTAATTTTGAAATCCTGCCCTACTGCGAATAATAACTGTTTTCATATAAATACATATTCAGGATTTGGACAAAAAAAATCTGATAATTTTAAAGAATTATCTCTGCCGAGCATCGCCTTTAACGTGCACTTATTGAGATGAATCGAATGGCTTTTAAATATTTGAAACCGGCGCAATCGATGTTTCAGTTGAAAAGCCGATGAAAGGCTATACATCGGCTCAAAAATACACACAAATACTGTTTTTAATGCTGGTCTCAAACGATTCAAAGTGATGAAATTCTGAGAAAACTTAAAATTAGCAAGTCAGCGAAAGAAAACTTCTCCTTCGGGAACTTAAAAACTAATAATATATCTTGAATAGATATCTCTGAATTCCCATTATGTATTATATTGACGGGTTTTGTTCATGCAAATAAACGCGGTGTAAATATATATTATTTTTTTCCGAATTGGTAAAAAAACATCTGAATTAGACACATGGATTTTACCCATAGACCTCATATTATATTGTAGTGTAATATTTATGATTTCACCGTATTTTGATTTTGACTCTCAAAATTGACTTTATTTTAAATGTCAAATGTAATTTTACTTGTGAATTTTGATATATATATTTATATGAAAAGCTGTACCCGTTCACACTTTGCCGTGATTTAGTTTAAATTAAAAAGTTGCACAAAGATGTGTATTTGTTACATTTAGTTTAAAGTTACTACTATCTGTTCAACAATTTACCTATTCAACAACTTGTCTACAAATTTACCTATAAACTTGGTAATCAATTCACCATTTTGCCGACTTACCAATTTACCTGTCAACCTATTTACCTATCAACCCGTTTCACATGTCTACCAATTTACCTGTCAACCTGTTTATCCGTCTTGTTATTTGTCTATCTACCAGTTGTCCTGTCTACCATTTTACATATCCTCCAATTTACCTGACCACCAGCTATCCAGCAAATTACCTTTTCACAAATTTACTTGTCTACCAATTCACCTGTCTATGAATTTACCTTTCAACCTATTTGCCTATCAACCTGTTTATCAATACACCATTTTACCTGTCAACCAATTTACCTGCCATCCAATTTACCTGTCATCCCGTTCTAAACGTCTACCAATTAACCTGTTTAGTAATTTACCTGTTGAACAATTAACCTGTTTAACAATTTGTCTACTGATTTAACTATCAACCTGTTTATCAATCTACTATTTTACCGGCCAACAAATTTACCTGTCATCCCGTTCTACATGTCTATCAATTAACCTGTCAACCTGTTTATTTGTCTACAAATTGGTCTATCTACCATTTTATATATCCTCCAATTTACCTGTCCACTAGTTTACCTTTATAAACTCTCTAATTCACCTTATTTATTTACGCATTATAAAAACGTTAAAGCTCACATTGATTCTACGTTTTAGTTAGAAAACGTTTGTATGTGAAAAAGGAAAGGGCTGTTTTTAGGGTTTTTCCGGCAATTATTCGATTTTTTTCGCCGTAAGAACCATCTTTGGACTTCAACGAACATTTTACAAAAAGAATTGGCCAAATTGGTCCAGGCGTTGTTGAGTTATGCGCTTACCAACACATTTTGCGATTCATTTTTATATAAAAGAAGTTATATCTTCTTATATATAATATAAGATATAGTTTCCATATTGTCTTACCTTTATACCCTTCCTGGACTACGACGAGTATTTCAGGATTAAAATTGGCAAAATTTGTTCAGCCGAGTTTTTGCAATACTAGTAATAATAACTAATAATAAGCAACAAATCATTTATATACTAAACATATAAATTTTTTTACGGCATGTAAAAAATTTTGTCGTATTATTTATTAATAATATAGAATTAATAAATAAATTTATTGTAACACTACAATCTAATCTGTTATATTTTTATAAAATACACGATTGTTAAGTTAATAAATTAGATAATAAAATTTTTTATACAATTATTAAATTATTTTAATTGAACTTATAAATATTATTATTATAACGAATAATTTATGACGTAATTTTAAGTAAATACGATTAATAACTGAATTTCTAATTTTGTTTTTACAAACAAAAATCAACGAGAATGTTATAGTTTTTAATATAAAATATCGAACTTTTAATATTATTACTGAATGAAGAAATGATTGCTATGTACTTAAAGTAAATACATAATTTAATGTTTTGTTTAATAATTAAATTTATCAACCTAATTTTACAGTTTTGAATTGGAATGGTTAGAGTGAATAACATTACAATAAATATAAGGTTTATATCAGCAAATTCCTGGATTATATCATTTACTTTAGTTTATTGATAATTAATTCGACTACACGATGAGGTTGAACTTGTTGAATTATTGAATAATATTTTTAGTCCTTAAAAATGTATTTTTTTTTGTCGCGTTATACTTTTTACGAGAATGATTTATATATTGTAACATCATAAAATTTTAAAGTAATCTGGTAGTTTGATGTATAAAACAATTCCACCGGAATTGATATCGTTGGTAAAATACTAATGCTGGAAATTCATTTGATCATAAATACGTAGACGTAAAAAATAACTTTTAAAATTAGAATGTGATTCATTGAAAATTTAAAATAGTTCTATCTGAAATTGAATTTGTATTGAAGTAATTGCACTTGATCAAGTTCCTTTATATTCATGTAGTTGCAAATGAATCACCTTCGGCATATTTTTATCTGATACCTATTCCGCCGCCTGAAGAGTTTGATAAAGTTCTGGAGCTCTTTGATGCAATCTCATCATAAAAGTTTCTCGTTTATCATCTTCATTATATGCCAAATTTGTTTTAGATTTATTAACTAACGAGACAACTAATGAAGGACTTTTCAAGGCATCGTGGGTAACCGCTAAATGTGGATTTGATCGATAAATTGGATAAGAATGCTGGTTCGCCAAACAGCTTTTGCTTCTTGTAAGTGATGTTCTATTTGATGATTGTATTTTATTATCTTCATTTTTATCTCTAATGAGAATGCCTGATTTCTTTTCATTTTTACCATATCTACCAAGTGTCGTTGTGACTGGAGTTGTTTCATATCTACCACTAAAAAATATTTATCCCAATTAAATATAACATAATAATAATAATAATAATAAAAAAAAAACGTCTTACTTTGTTTGTTTAAAATTGTTAATATATTTATTTTCTCGTCCATATATACTGCCTCCATAAGGATCCTCTCCTAAATAATATCTCTGAGCAGGTGGGGCGGTCCATTTTTCACTTCCTATATGAGAATCTATGACGTTGCATTTCTGATAAGTTGTTTCATCTTCAGGTCTTGGAGGAATTATCAAGGGCGGACTTGCAGACCGTCGTCTACTTTTTCTTTCCAAACTTGCTGATCGAATTTTTCCAACTAATTTTCTAATACCCTGTCCAATAGCGGAAGTGACCTTTTGTTTTGAAGCAACAGTATCGGCTGGAAAATGTACGCTACGACCGCGGGAAGGCTCAAGTTTCGTTGGCGGGGAACAAGAACCAGGCCTGTAAATTTTCTCATTATAGTTCTTAGACACAAAAATAATAAAACTGAAATGAACCGAATTGAAACTTCTTATATAATTATATTAACCTTATCTTTGTTTCTGTTGTCGGAGTTGCATTCTCTTTTCTCAAATGCGTCGAATAATCAATAGGTGGTTCGTCCTTAACGTATCCATTGATATCACCAACAAAACTTGGTGAAGGTGTAGTGGTTTGCTTCCTATGACGACTTCGTTGAGGAGGTGATGGTCTTTGGGTGTCAAACTGTTTTACTTCACGCGCCGTGTTTGTTGTTTCATACCTTGACAAGTTTTCTACTTTGTTGGCTAATCATGTAACAATATAAATATTCAAGCAAAATCTTTTCAACAATTTAATTCATACGCATAAAATTCTTAAAATGGTTTTTAGAATGGAATATTAACTAAAACATCACAACAGTCCACCTATCATCATGAACAATTCAATAATTCCACTATGCAATTCTGTAAAATATTTAGATATGCACATTGATTTGAAATTGACATGGAGAACGCACATTGAATATAAAAAGAAACAAATGCAACTGAAAATAAAAGATTTTTACTGGCTTTTTGGGAGGAAATCTGAAATCTCTCTCGATAACAAGGTACTTCTGTACAAAACTATCATAGTGCCCATTTGGACTTATGGAATCGAACTATGGGGTTGCTCATGTAAATCTAACATAAACATCATTCAAAGGTGCCAGAATAAAATTCTGCGTATCTTTATTAATGCGCCTTGGTATATTTCGAATTTTTGCCTACATAAGGATTTGAAAATCTCAACAGTCAACGAAATGATCAAGATTAGAAGTTCATCTTTCAACAATAAATTAATCCAGCATACAAATCCTACAATTCAAGCGATTCACAGACCGATAAGAAGATTGAGCAAGAAATGGCCTTCCGATCTACCAAACACCTAGCACAATGTCTGCACGCGTCCTGACGTAGTACGCGGCATACATCATCACGTCATCGTTCATTTATGTTATTATTTTTGTATTACTGTTTTAATTTAATTTTTATTTTAACTTTTTCCATTTTATATTCAATTTATTGCATTTTTTGTTTTTTTTTTGTTTTTTTTTTGCTCATATCAATTTTGTAAATAAGACATTGAAGTCTTGATTAACAAAAATAAATTGTAACAAAAAAAAAAAAATAAAATAAAATTCTTACCCTTTATGGCCCGTGCAGGCCTTTGTGGTTGAACTCGCCTGTCACTCCATTCGGAAACACCCTGGAAATATTTATTTGTTCCTTTGTGAGGACTAGCATTTTGTTTGGGAACGCAAGCTACTAAAACCGGCGCATCACGTTTACTGCGAATGGTTATATTGAAATAACCTTCCTCAGTTCCTTGAGACTTTGCAACATGTCGCTGATCAGCACCGCCCGAAACTAAAGAATCTCTTGAAGACTGTGATGAACGGGAATCGCTTCCAAAATGATGGTCAAGCCATTTATTGGTTTCAGCTTTTCTGGAGCGCTCTTCAGCGTCAAAGTCTAAAGGTCGCTTTGTGATCACGTCTTTCCGTTCTGCGTTTTCTGCTAAATAAATAGATTTAGTAGTGATAGAATGAAAGTGAAACCAAATGCTTTTGTTGTCTACCTCTAGAACGTCTTAACCGATCGCTCAAACTTTCCCAGTGATCACGGCCTAACTTGGCTGCTAGGTCGCCGTAACGTTCCGCGTGTCGACTTTCAGCCGAGTAGCGCATCTCCCCG